TCACACACTCACTCACTCACACTCACACACACACTCACTCACACTCACACACTCACTCACACACATACACACACACTCACACACACACACTCACACACACACACTCACACACACACTCACTCACACACATACACTCACACTCACATACACACACACTCACACACACACTCACACACATACACACACACTCACACATACACACTCACACACATACACACACACACTCACTCACACACACTCACTCACACACACAGACACACATACACACTCACACACTCACACACTCACACACATACACACACACTCACACACACTCACTCATACACACACACACAGACACACATACACACTCACACACTCACTCACACACACACTCACACACAGACACACAGACACACTCACACACAGACACACACACACTCACACACACTCACACACTCACACACATACAACAACAACAACCGCCATTCGCCACTAAGTGGCGGTGACGTCACCACGACGCTTGTGCCAGGCTATGTGCACCCTGAGGCCACGTGAAGTATCGAACGCCCGCTGGCAGGAGGTCACGGGGCAGACCCAGGTGCCACGGGTCGACTGACTGAGATGACTGGCTGATGCACCACCTGTGCCCCCTACTGTGCCAACCTGCTGTGCTTTAGCCACCCGGCGCTCCGCTCGCTGTTGTGAGCGTCGCTCCTCCGCCCTCCGTTGTTGTTGGAGGGCGACTGCCTCCAACTGCCCAGTAGCATCCTTCACGAGCCTCCTCCACAGAGGCCGATCTTGACACCGCTGGTACCAGTCATCGGCAAGTCCACTCAGCTCCACGTCCTCCTGTACCACATCACTCCATCTCTTCTCTAGCCCGTGCCGTGCCCGCTTAGCCCCCTCAATCCGGCCAAACAAAAGCTGTTTCGGCATGCGGTGGCTGGGCATGCGGGCTACATGACCCAGCCATCGCAGCCTTGCCTGCCGGAGGAGCTCACCGATGGGACCCTGCCCAGATCTTTCAAGGATTTGTGAGCTCCTCACACAATCCAGTCTGGTTAAACCGAGGATGGATCGGAGGCAGGCCAGCCTAAATGTTTCTAACCGGCGAAGATGTTCCATTAGGGGGGTCCACGTTTCGCAAGCGTAGAGAAGGGAGGGAATGACCGTGGCCGAGAAGACCTGAAGCTTAGTGCGGAGCGACAGACCAGGTAGCTTCCACACAGCGTTACGCAACCGATGAAAAGATATTGCCGCTCGACTGATTCGGAGTGAGACCTCTGCTGTTAAACTGGAGCCAGTCATAAGCACACTGCCCAGGTATGGGAAACTCTCCACTCTCTCCACAACTGCCCCATCACCGATTGGGAGTTGTGGGGGTGGAGTGTCCGATGGTACAAAATACCCAGGCAGGTGCTTAGTTTTGGTGGGGCTGATGGTAAGGCCCCACCTCTTAGTGGCACGCTCCAGTCTCAGCAGCAGCGTCTCCAACTCCTCCTCTGACTGAGCAGCTATTACCAAGTCATCAGCATACATAACGTGGTTGAGCAATAGGGAGCCATCCCTTGACCGCACCCGGGCATCGATTAGCCTCCCATTATATCTGTACCATATGGAGATTCCCCCGGTACAGCTATTGAAGGCTTCACGAACTACGTGGTCAAAATAGATGTTAAATAATGTGGGAGCCAGAGGACATCCCTGTCGCACCCCAAGGTGTACAGGGAATGGCTCTGACTCCCGGCCACGTAGTTTTACCCGGGCCCGCTCACCATCATGAAGGTCCTTAATGATCGTGAGCAGAGGGTCAGGTACTCCAAAAGCACGAAGAACGACCCAGAGCCCAGGCCTACTGATGGTATCATAGGCCTTGACCAGGTCAATAAAGCAGAGATGTAGGTCTTGTTGGAATTCCCTACACCTCTGCTGTAGCAGACGGACAGAAAATATGGCATCTGTGCAGGACCGCCCTTTCCTGAAACCGCATTGGGGCTCCGCAAGCCTCTCCTCAGCGTGCCTGGCAAGGCGATGCTGAATAATCCTTGCCAGGACCTTTCCCGGCACACTGAGGAGTGAGATGCCCCTGTAGTTGTTACAGTCTGTGCGGTCCCCCTTCTTAAAAAGGGGGACCACCAGGGCATCCTTCCAATCCTGCGGAACCCGTCCAGTGGTCCAGACTGTTGTTATGATGTCATATAGGGCAGTCTGTGCACAAACGCCACCCTCCCTCAGCATTTCGCTTGGGAGATCATCTCTGCCCGCTGCCTTTCCTGGTCTCAGACTCCGGATCGCCTTCAATACTTCCTCAGCAGATGGCACCTCAGCCAGCCACTCACAGGGGGTGACTTCATCCAATATTTGAGGCACCGCAGCCTCAGCAGGGTCATCCTCACTTTGTGCCACGATGTTTTCCTGGCTGAGGGATTTTCCCTCCCCCAGGATCTCACAGAAATGCTCAGCAAATCTGCGAACCTGTTCCTGGGGGTCGGAAATTGGATCACCGTTTTTTCCCCTAATGATGGTAATAGGTGTGGCGCTGCAGGTTACTTTTTTGATGGAGTTAAATAGAGATTTGTGATCACGGGCCACTGAGGCAGACTCCATCTCCTCAGCAACCCGCGACCACCACCCATCCTTGCAGCGCCTCACGGCTCTCCGAACCTCCGAGCGAAGGCTGCGGTAAGCCTCCTCATTCTCTGACGAGGGATTCTGTAGCCGATGACAGTGGGCCTGTCGCTTTTTCTCAACCATCGTGAACAACTCCTCTGTCATCCAGGGTGTCTGGGGAGGTCTGGACCGCGTACCCAAAGCAGCCATTGCAGCTGCATGAGTCACAGTCCTAAACCTCGCCCATTTACCCTCGACATCAGGAGGAGTCGGGGACGATGCCAATCCCAGCCGCAAGCGATGATGAAATTCTCGCTTGCAACTTTCATCAGATAACTGAGACCAGGCCACTTTAGGTTGGAATGGGGTCCTGGGTGTACACCCACCACCGGAGTGGAAGAATGGCAGGCGCATCTTACAGATGACTAGTCGATGGTCAGAGGGCAGATCAGCTCCACGGTAGGTCCTGGTGTCAAGGACATGGGCTCGCATTCGCTGGTCCGTCACTATGTAATCCAGCAGATGTTCTTGCTTGGACCCGGCATGCATCCATGATGTTGTGTGGATGCGCCGATGCCGGAACAGCGTGTTGGTAATTACAAGCCCATGGGCTGCACAAAAATCTAGCAGCCTCCTACCGTTGTTATTGAGCTGATCTGGCCCATGCCCTCCAATCACTCCAGACCAGGTGCCAGTATCATGACCAACTCGGGCATTGAAGTCACCCAACATGATGACTCTATCCCGAGGGGCCACTTTAGCCAGCACCTGTGACAGGAGGTCATAGAAGGCATCTGACTCATCGGCTTTGCCTGCATCCCTCCACGGATGTTCATCTTCGGTGGGGGCATAAGTAACCACGACCACCATTCCTCGCCTCCGGTTGATGGGAAGGCGAGCCCAAAGTAGCCTGGGGCTTACAGCTTCCCACACCTCACCGCCACGCTCCCACGCCCCCTTCATTCTTTTGTTCAAAAGAAGACCCACACCCTGTTGTTTGGCAGTCTGCTGCCCCGAGTAGAGGACTGTCCACCCCTCATGGTGGCAGGAGCCAGAGCCGGTCCACCGGACCTCCTGAATGCCGCATAGATCCAGGCGGTACCGGTCCAGCTCCCGACAGAGGAGTGGCAGCCTCTCCTCTGCAGTGAGCGTTCGAACATTCCACGTGGCCAACCGTAGTGGCTTTTCGTTGTTTCTGGAGTAGCCCCGAGGGTAGGTATTCAATCTCCTGGCTCCGCCAATTGGGGTTTGGCCAGGAGACGTCATAGACGCCTGGCCCCCCGGGGCCTCCGGCACAAGCTTAGTTGTTACATATTTCAGTTGAATTCAGTTGAATTCGTAGTGGACGGGTGCGAGGGGCTGGTAACCCTTCCACCTTCAATTAATTACCACGAAACTACGAATTCAACACACATACACACACACACTCACACACATACACACACACTCACTCACACACATACACACACACACTCACACACATACACTCACACACATACACACTCACACACATACACTCACACTCACTCACTCACACACATACACACGCTCACTCACACACATACACACACTCACTCACACGCTCACTCACACTCACACACACACTCACACGCTCACTCACACTCACACACTCACTCACACACATACACACGCTCACTCACTCACACACATACACACACTCACTCACACGCTCACACTCACACACACACTCACACGCTCACTCACACTCACACACTCACTCACACACATACACATGCTCACACACACACACTCACAGCGGGGCAGGCCTTCCTCACACTCGTCCGCGTCTATGGGCACACCGCATCCAGCATGCTCGCACGTAGACACTCACTCACACTCACAGACACTCACACTCACAGACACTCACTCACACTCACAGACACACACACACACTCACTCACACACACTCACACTCACAGACACTCACAGACACTCACACACACTCACAGACACTCACACACACTCACAGACACTCACACTCACAGACACTCACACTCACTCACACACACTCACAGACACTCACACACACTCACACACACTCACAGACACTCACACACACTCACACACACTCACACTCACAGACACTCACAGACACTCACACTCACAGACACTCACACACACTCACACTCACAGACACTCACACATACTCACACTCACAGACACTCAGACACACCCACACACAGACACTCAGACACATACGCAGACACTCACACACAGACACTCACTCACACGCTCACACACACTCACACGCTCACACGCACACTCACAGACACTTACACGCTCACTCACACTCACAGACACACACATACAACAACATCCGCCATTCGCCACTAAGTGGCGGTGACGTCACCACGACGCTTGTGCCAGGCTATGTGCACCCTGAGGCCACGTGAATTGTCGAACACCCACTGGCAGGAGGTCACGGGGCAGACCCAGGTGCCACGGGTCGACTGACTGAGATGACTGGCTGATGCACCACCTGTGCCCCCTACTGTGCCAACCTGCTGTGCTTTAGCCACCCGGCGCTCCGCTCGTTGTTCTGAGCGTCGCTCCTCCGCCCTCCGTTGTTGTTGGAGGGCGACTGCCTCCAACTGCCCAGTAGCATCCTTCACGAGCCTCCTCCACAGAGGCCGATCTTGACACCGCTGGTACCAGTCATCGGCAAGTCCACTCAGCTCCACGTCCTCCTGTACCAGATCACTCCATCTCTTCTCTAGCCCGTGCCGCGCCCGCTTAGCCCCCTCAATCCGGCCAAACAAAAGCTGTTTCGGCATGCGGTGGCTGGGCATGCGGGCTACATGACCCAGCCATCGCAGCCTTGCCTGCCGGAGGAGCTCACCGATGGGACCCTGCCCAGATCTTTCAAGGATTTGTGAGCTCCTCACACAATCCAGTCTGGTTAAACCCAGGATGGATCGTAGGCAGGCCAGCCTAAATGTTTCTAACCAGCGAAGATGTTCCATTAGGGGGGTCCACGTTTCGCAAGCGTAGAGAAGGGAGGGAATGACCGTGGCCGAGAAGACCTGAAGCTTAGTGCGGAGCGACAGACCAGGTAGCTTCCACACAGCGTTACGCAACCGATGAAAAGATATTGCCGCTCGACTGATTCGGAGTGAGACCTCTGCTGTTAAACTGGAGCCAGTCATAAGCACACTGCCCAGGTATGGGAAACTCTCCACTCTCTCCACAACTGCCCCATCACCGATTGGGAGTTGTGGGGGTGGAGTGTCCAATGGTACAAAATACCCAGGCAGGTGCTTAGTTTTGGTGGGGCTGATGGTAAGGCCCCACCTCTTAGTGGCACGCTCTAGTCTCAGCAGCAGCGTCTCCAACTCCTCCTCTGACTGAGCAGCCATTACCAAGTCATCAGCATACATAACGTAGTTGAGCAATAGGGAGCCATCCCTTGACCGCACCCGGGCATCGATTAGCCTCCCATTATATCTGTACCATATGGAGATTCCCCCGGTACAGCTATTGAAGGCTTCACGAACTACGTGGTCAAAATAGATGTTAAATAATGTGGGAGCCAGAGGACATCCCTGTCACACCCCAAGGTGTACAGGGAATGGCTCTGACTCCCGGCCACGTAGTTTTACCCGGGCCCGCTCACCATCATGAAGGTCCTTAATGATCGTGAGCAGAGGGTCAGGTACTCCAAAAGCACGAAGAACGACCCAGAGCCCAGGCCTACTGATGGTATCATAGGCCTTGGCCAGGTCAATAAAGCAGAGATGTAGGTCTTGTTGGAATTCCCTACACCTCTGCTGTAGCAGACGGACAGAAAATATGGCATCTGTGCAGGACCGCCCTTTCCTGAAACCGCATTGGGGCTCCGCAAGCCTCTCCTCAGCGTGCCTGGCAAGGCGATGCTGAATAATCCTTGCCAGGACCTTTCCTGGCACACTGAGGAGTGAGATGCCCCGGTAGTTGTTACAGTCTGTGCGGTCCCCCTTCTTAAAAAGGGGGACCACCAGGGCATCCTTCCAATCCTGCGGAACCCGTCCAGTGGTCCAGACTGTTGTTATGATGTCAAATAGGGCAGTCTGTGCACAAACGCCACCCTCCCTCAGCATTTCGCTTGGGAGATCATCTCTGCCCGCTGCCTTTCCTGGTCTCAGACTCCGGATCGCCTTCAATACTTCCTCAGCAGATGGCACCTCAGCCAGCCACTCACTGGGGGTGACTTCTTCCAATATTTGAGGCACCGCAGCCTCAGCAGGGTCATCCTCACTTTGTGCCACGATGTTTTCCTGGCTGAGGGATTTTCCCTCCCCCAGGACCTCACAGAAATGCTCAGCAAATCTGCGAACCTGTTCCTGGGGGTCGGAGATTGGATCACCGTTTTTTTCCCCTAATGATGGTAATAGGTGTGGCGCTGCAGGTTACTTTTTGATGGAGTTAAATAGAGATTTGTGATCACGGGCCACTGAGGCAGACTCCATCTCCTCAGCAAGCCGCGACCACCACCCATCCTTGCAGCGCCTCACGGCTCTCCGAACCTCCGAGCGAAGGCTGCGGTAAGCCTCCTCATTCTCTGACGTGGGATTCTGTAGCCGATGACAGTGGGCCTGTCGCTTTTTCTCAACCATCCTGAACACCTCCTCTGTCAGCCAGGGTCTCTGGGGAGGTCTGGACCGCGTACCCAAAGCAGCCATTGCAGCTGCATGAGTCACAGTCCTAAACCTCGCCCATTTACCCTCGACATCAGGAGGAGTCGGGGACGATGCTAATCCCAGCCGCAAGCGATGATGAAATTCTCGCTTGCAACTTTCATCAGATAACTGAGACCAGGCCACATTATGTTGGAATGGGGTCCTGGGTGTACACCCACCACCGGAGTGGAAGAATGGCAGGCACATCTTACAGATGACTAGTCGATGGTCAGAGGGCAGATCAGCTCCACGGTAGGTCCTGGTGTCAAGGACATGGGCTCGCATTCGCTGGTCCGTCACTATGTAGTCCAGCAGATGTTCTTGCTTGGACCCGGCATGCATCCACACACACATGCACACACACACACTCACGCACACACTCACACACACACTCACGCACACACTCACGCTCACACACACACACACTCACACACACACTCACACACACACTCACACACACACTCACGCTCACACACACACACTCACGCACACTCACACACACACTCACGCACACGCTCACACTCACGCACACACTCACGCACACACTCACGCTCACACACACACTCACACACACGCTCACACATTCACACTCACGTACACACTCACACACACTCACGCTCACACACACACACTCACGCACACACTCACACACACACACGGGAGGACGCACCTTGGCACATGCGCCCGTCTTCCCGCAGCACGTATCCCGCGGGGCAGGTGCACTCGTACGCACCGTACGTGTTCACGCAGCGGAACGCGCACAGCAGCGGGTTCTGCGCACACTCGTTCACATCTAGACGGGGCGGGGGCGAGGGGGAGGGGTGGACAGGGAGAGTGGGGAGGAGGGGTAAACAAATTAACTTTTTGGCCAGTATCAAAGTGTCATGACAGTAGAGTCAACCTGCAGTGCGAATGGACTAGTGGCCACGGGAGGTAATGACAGGGGAGTCAGCCTGCAGTGCGAATGGACTAGTGGCCACGGGAGGAAATGACAGGGGAGTCAGCCTGCAGTGCGAATGCACTAGTGGCCACGGGAGGTAATGACAGGGGAGTCAGCCTACAGTGTGAATGGACTCGTGGCCACGGGGGGTAATGATAGGGGAGTTAGCCTGCAGTGTGGATGCACTAGTGGCCACGGGAGGTAATGACAGGGGAGTCAGCCTGCAGTGCGAATGGACTAGTGGCCACGGGAGGTAATGACAGGGGAGTCAGCCTGCAGTGCGAATGGACTAGTGGCCACGGGAGGAAATGACAGGGGAGTCAGCCTGCAGTGCGAATGCACTAGTGGCCACGGGAGGTAATGACAGGGGAGTCAGCCTACAGTGTGAATGGACTCGTGGCCACGGGGGGTAATGATAGGGGAGTTAGCCTGCAGTGTGGATGCACTAGTGGCCACGGGAGGTAATGACAGGGGAGTCAGCCTGCAGTGCGAATGGACTAGTGGCCACGGGAGGTAATGACAGAGAGTCAGCCTGCAGTGCGAATGGACTAGTGACCACGGGAGGAAATGACAGGGGAGTCAGCCTGCGGTGCGAATGGACTAGTGGCCACGGGAGGTAATGACAGGGGAGTCAGCCTACAGTGTGAATGGACTCGTGGCCACGGGGGGTAATGATAGGGGAGTTAGCCTGCAGTGTGGATGCACTAGTGGCCACGGGAGGTAATGACAGGGGAGTCAGCCTGCAGTGCGAATGGACTAGTGGCCACGGGAGGTAATGACAGAGAGTCAGCCTGCAGTGCGAATGGACTAGTGACCACGGGAGGAAATGACAGGGGAGTCAGCCTGCGGTGCGAATGGACTAGTGGCCACGGGAGGTAATGACAGGGGAGTCAGCCTACAGTGTGAATGGACTCGTGGCCACGGGGGGTAATGATAGGGGAGTTAGCCTGCAGTGTGGATGCACTAGTGGCCACGGGAGGTAATGACAGGGGAGTCAGCTTGCAGTGCGAATGGACTAGTGGCCACAGGAGGTAATGACAGGGGAGTCAGCCTACAGTGCGAATGGACTAGTGGCCACGGGAGGTCATGACAGGGGATTCAGCCTACAGTGTGAATGGACTCGTGGCCACGGGGGGTAATGATAGGGGAGTTAGCCTGCAGTGTGGATGCACTAGTGGCCACGGGAGGTAATGACAGGGGAGTCAGCTTGCAGTGCGAATGGACTAGTGACCACGGGAGGAAATGACAGGGGAGTCAGCCTGTGGTGCGAATGGACTAGTGGCCACGGGAGGTAATGACAGGGGAGTCAGCCTACAGTGTGAATGGACTCGTGGCCACGGGGGGTAATGATAGGGGAGTTAGCCTGCAGTGTGGATGCACTAGTGGCCACGGGAGGTAATGACAGGGGAGTCAGCTTGCAGTGCGAATGGACTAGTGGCCACAGGAGGTAATGACAGGGGAGTCAGCCTACAGTGTGAATGGACTCGTGGCCACGGGGGGTAATGATAGGGGAGTTAGCCTGCAGTGTGGATGCACTAGTGGCCACGGGAGGTAATGACAGGGGAGTCAGCTTGCAGTGTGAATGGACTAGTGACCACGGGAGGTAATGACAGAGGAGTCAGTTGTGAGTGCGAAGGGAGTGGTGGCTCCGAGAATGTTCGAGAAGGGAGCGTGGTCAGGTGACGGAAGAGGACGGTGGAGTCTGCCGGTAGAGCGAGCGTCCAGAGTCAGCGAGAATGATCTAGAAGGGGGGCGTGGCCTCGTGTCGGTATATAAGGGGGAGATGCGCGGGAGACTCGGGGCTGTTGCAGTCGGGGTCTCCGCCTGATGTCAAGTGAACCTGTCTTCAATAAACAGTCTGCAGTCGTCATTACAAAAGTATTAAAATGTTTCAATAGTAACAAGTATTTACACTTTCTGGCAATAAAACAGGAGGTCTTAAGATGTTCAAACACCAACATATTTTCGTTTTGCAAGGAATCAGGTACTGGATTAGCCACGCACAGTACTTGTGGTGAACATGCGAACAAAACATGCTCTGATAACAATACAGTGTACGCATTGTTTTTTAAACTGATTGGCCTACACCAGAGACTTCTGTGTGGACTCGTCTCACCACCAGTGTCAGAGAACAACGCCAAAAAGCAGACAGTACAAAGACAATGCCACACGTGTCAGAGCATTGCCATTCATTTAACTCAGCAATTTAAAACGCAGATACACGCCGACCTGAATGGGAGTACAGCTCAGAGCTGCGAGTGCGCGCGTGTGCGGAAGTACGCGTGTGTACGTAAGCGTGTGTGGGTACGTACGTGTGTGCGTACGTGTGTGTACGTATGTGTGTGCATACGTGTGTGTACGTACGCGTGTGCGTGTGTGTGTACGTACGCGTGTGCGTGTGTGTGTATGTACGTGTATGCGTGTGTATGTACGTGTGTGCGTACGTACGCGTGTGTGCGTGTGTGTGTGTACGTACGCTTGTGTGTGTGTAGTGGGGAGCGGTAGTGTAGCGGTTAGCGCTACGCTGTGCTATGAACCTGGCGACCCGGGTTCGATTCCCGCTCGCGGCCAACACCAGTGACGATTATCTGAACCGGTCCCGGGCCTCCCCTAGGTCGACTCAGCCTCAAATGAGTACCTGGTGCGGTGTGTAAATATCGCCACTAGGGAGACAAAGGCGGTCGGGCGTGGTGCTGGCCACCCACCCCCTCGTGTACCGTTCCGGCCTTCATAGGTGCTCGCTAACAGCACTTGCCCCTACAGTCTGTTAAGGCTATTTGGGGGATCTTTATCTTTGTCTTTGTGTGTGTGCGTGTACGTACGCGTGTGCGTGTGTGCGCGTGTGGGGAGCGGTGGCGCAGCGGTTAGCGCGCTGCGCTCATGGCTACACAACGCGGGCGCTGACGACTGTCTGAAATCGTCCTGGGCCTCCCCTAGGTCGACTCAGCCTTCAAATGAGAAACCTGGGCGCGGTGCGCAGTAAAACATCGCCGCGAAAGGAAAGACAAAGGCGGCCGGGCGCGGTTTGCCGGCCACCCATGCCCCTCGCGTGCCGCTCCGGCCCTCAGTGGTGCTGCAACTCGCTAACAGCACCAATGAGACAACAGCACTCGCCCCGGGGGGATCTTTGTGGATGTGTACGTACGCGCGTGGAGAGTGAGTTGCACGCGAGTGCCCTGCGCGTAGGTGCCGCTACTCGCCAAGAGCACTAGCCCCCCCGAACAGCCTGTCCAGGCTACAACGTGGTTGCGTGTACGTACGTGCGTGCGTGCGGGGGGGGGGGGGGGGGGGGGGGGGGTCCTTCGTCTGTGCGCGCACCTTCACAGTTCATCATGGGGCCCGGCTCGAAGCCCTCGTCGCAGGCGCACTCGAAGCCCCCGGCCACGTTGGAGCACGTGCCGTTGCCGCAAGGGTTGCCCACCGAGCACTCGTCCGTGTCTGTGCGGGGCGGGGACGCGGGCACGCGGGCACACAGACATACAGACACACAGACACACGGGCACGCAGACACACAGACACACAGACACACAGGCACACAGACACGTGGGCATGAGGACACACAGACACGTGGGCATGAGGACACACAGACACGTGGGCATGAGGACACACAGACACGTGGGCATGAGGACACACAGACACGTGGGCATGAGGACACGCAGACACACAGACACACAGACACGTGGGAATGAGGACACACAGACACACAGGCACACGGACACACAGACACACAGACACACAGACACGCAGACACACAGGCACGTGGGCATGAGGACACACAGACACACAAACACACAGGCACGTGGGAATGAGGACACACAGACACACAGGCACACAGACACACAGACACACAGACACGTGGGCATGAGGACACGCAGACACACAGACACACAAACACGTGGGAATGAGGACACACAGACACACAGGCACACAGACACACAGACACGTGGGCATGAGGACACGCAGACACACAGGCACACAGACACACAGACACACAGACACACAGACACGTGGGCATGAGGACACACAGACACGTGGGCATGAGGACACACAGACACACAGGCACACGGACACACAGGCACACAGACACGCAGACACGCAGACACACAGACACGTGTGTATGAGGACACGCAGACACACAGGCACACAGACACACAGACACACAGACATGTGGGCATGAGGACACACAGACACACAGGCACACGGACACACAGACACGCAGACACACAGGCACGTGGGCATGAGGACACGCAGACACACAGACACACAGACACACAGACACACAGACACGTGGGCATGAGGACACGCAGACACACAGACACACAGACACACAGACACGTGGGCATGAGGACACGCAGACACACAGACACACAGACACGCAGACACACAGACACACAGACACACAGACACGTGGTCATGCGGACACCCAGACATGAGGACACATGGGCATGCGGACATGAGGTTACGCGGACACACAGACACGTAGGCACATGGACAAGCAGACGCACGGACGCATGGACGGGCAGACAGACGAGAGATTCAAGGTAAGTACAGGTGGACAACGGACATACAGACAGGCAGGCAGCGAAACAGCCAGTCAGACAGGCAGTCAGACAGACAGGCAGTCAGACAGACGGGCAGACAGACAGGCAGACACGGCGGGCAGTGAAGCAGGCAGGCCGTGTGGGTAGAGGCCCCCGCGTGGACACGGCGCACCGATGCAGTTGACCCCAGAGTAGTCGATGCTGTAGCCGAGGGGACACTCGCAGCGGAAGGAGCCGTCCGTGTTGATGCACTGCCCATTGGAGCAGGCGCCGGGGCTCTCCACACACTCGTCCAGGTCTGCGGGGACACGCGGGGGGGTGGGGGTGGGGGTGGGGCAAAGACAAAAATCCCACCGTGTTTTCAGTTTCAGTTTTATTTATTTTGGTATAGCCCTGTGAGCCATTCGGCTCTTGAATCGGGTGCAACCACAACAAACAAAAACATGAAAAAAAAACACGAACAAGAAAAACATCTTCAAGTGACTTTGTGTTGACTGTGCAAACAGAAAATCCATGTAAAAAAAAAAACAGCAAAAATATTCCTGAAAAAAGCACCGGACACCGACGCTGTGTGCAAAAAATCCCAGTGGGATGCAAGTCAAACAACAACAACAACAACCACAAGACAACTTAGATTAAGGCCATCAGTCTAACTCCGTACTACAACGGAGAGACACGGGGACACAGATCGCTGGTAGCCAGGTAGGAGACACGCGCGGGGACACGGGGAGTGACACGGGGAGACACGCAGGGGGAGACACGGAGACACACAGGGAGACACAGGGAGACACGCGGGGACACGGGGGAGACACGGAGAGACACGGAGACACACAGAGAGACACGCGGGGACACGGGGGAGACACGTGGGGACACGGGGAGAGACATGGGGAGACACGGGGAGACACGTGGGGACACGGGGAGAGACATGGGGAGACACGGGGAGACACGTGGGGACACGGGGAGACATGGGGAGACACGCGGGGAGACACGCGGAGACACGCAGGGAGAGACACGCACAAGGAGACACGTGGACACGTCGCAACACAAAGGGGCTAACCTTGTCGACCGTATCGCCGGCAATGCGCCCCATCTCACCAGAGCTGTAAAAGCTCAGCAGGCTCTCAGCCTGCTGAGCTGTAAAAGCTCAGCAGGCTCTCAGCCTGGGCGGTCCCTGCGATGGGCGAGCGCCGTGAGCGGCGGGTCGCCAGCGGCGGTGCTAACGTGGACGTTGCGCTGTACTTCTGCGCTCCCCCCGCCCCCCCCGCCCCGCCCCCCCCGCCCCGCCCCCCACCCCTCCTCCCCCTCCCGCGACCGGCGCGACGTGGGAAGGGAAGGCCCTCATCCAGCAGTGGATTGGAAGGGAGCGGAGTGGGGGGGGGGCGGGGGGGGGGGGCTGTGCGTGCGTCACGTGACCCACCGACGCGGCTCTCGTCAGGCCCAGGGATGATGCCGACTCCCAGGGGACACAGCTCCTGGAAGTCCACACCTGGGCGACAACACACGTGGTGCAGCCAGGTGAGTGGCGGGGCGGTCACGTGTGTGTCCGGTGGTGCACTGTCTGCGTTGAACTTCGTTCGCACCGTACGCAGAGAACCGTGCTAATGGGAGGAGGCGCTGGGGGGAAGGACAACAGACTGAACGCGATGCCAGTCTGTGGGTCTCTGTGTGGTGAGTCTGTGGGTCTCTGTGTGGTGAGTCTGTGGGTCTCTGTGTGGTGAGTCTGTGGGTCTCTGTGTGAGTGAGTCTGTGGGTCTCTGTGTGAGTGAGTCTGTGGGTCTCTGTGTGGTGAGTCTGTGGGTCTCTGTGTGGTGAGTCTACGGGTCTCTGTGTGATGAGTCTGTGGGTCTCTGTGTGGTGAGTCTGTGGGTCTCTGTGTGGTGAGTCTATGGGTCTCTGTGTGGTGAGTCTATGTGTCTCTGTGTGGTGAGTCTATGGGTCTCTGTGAAGTGAGTCTATGTGTCTCTGTGTGAGTGAGTCTATGGGTCTCTGTGTGATGAGTCTATGGGTCTTTGTGTGGTGAGTCTATGGGTCTCTGTGTGGTGAGTCTATGGGTCTCTGTGTGGTGAGTCTGTGGGTCTCTGTGTGAGTGAGTCTATGGGTCTCTGTGTGAGTGAGTCTGTGGGTCTCTGTGTGGTGAGTCTGTGGGTCTCTGTGTGGTGAGTCTGTGGGTCTCTGTGTGGTGAGTCTGTGGGTCTCTGTGTGAGTGAGTCTATGTGTCTCTGTGTGAGTGAGTCTGTGGGTCTCTGTGTGGTGAGTCTGTGGGTCTCTGTGTGGTGAGTCTGTGGGTCTCTGTGTGGTGAGTCTGTGGGTCTCTGTGTGGTGAGTCTGTGGGTCTCTGTGTGATGAGTCTATGGGTCTCTGTGTGGTGAGTCTGTGGGTCTCTCCGTGGTGAGTCTATGTGTCTCTGTGTGATGAGTCTATGGGTCTCTGTGTGATGAGTCTATGTGTCTCTGTGTGATGAGTCTGTGGGTCTCTGTGTGGTGAGTCTGTGGGTCTCTGTGTGATGAGTCTATGGGTCTCTGTGTGATGAGTCTATGGGTTTCTGTGTGGTGAGTCTATGTGTCTCTGTGTGGTGACTCTATGGATCTCTGTGTGGTGAGTCTATGGGTCTCTGTGTGGTGAGTCTATGGGTCTCTGTGTGGTGAGTCTGTGTCTCTGTGTGATGAGTCTATGGGTCTCTGTGTGATGAGTCTATGGGTCTCTGTGTGGTCAGTCTATGGGTCTCTGTGTGATGAGTCTATGGGCCTCTGTGTGGTGAGTCTGTGGGTATCTGTGTGAGTGAGTCTGTGGGTCTCTGCGTGACGAGTCTGTGGGTCTCTGTATAAGTGTATAGGTATCTGTGTGATGAGTCTATTGGTCTCTCCGTGGTGAGTCTGTGGGTCTCTGTGTGATGAGTCTATGTGTCTCTGTGTGGTGAGTCTATGGGCCTCTGTGAAGTGAGTCTATGTGTCTCTGTGTGGTGAGTCTATGTGTCTCTGTGTGGTGAGTCTATGGGTCTCTGTGTGATGAGTCTATGGGTCTCTGTGTGGTGAGTCTATGGGTCTCTGTGTGATGAGTCTATGGGCCTCTGTGTGGTGAGTCTATGTGTCTCTGTGTGCTGAGTCCATGGGTCTGTGTGTGGTGAGTCTGTGTCTCTGTTTGGTGAGTCTATGGGTGTCTGTGTGGTGAGTCTATGTGTCTCTGTGTGGTGAGTCTATGTGTCTCTGTGTGGTGAGTCTATGGGCCTCTGTGTGGTGAGTCTATGTGTCTCTGTGTGGTGAGTCTGTGTGTCTCTGTGTGGTGAGTCTGTGAGTCTCTGTGTGGTGAGTCTATGGGTCTCTGTGTGGTGAGTCTGTGGGTCTCTGTGTGGTGAGTCTGTGGGTCTCTGTGTGGTGAGTCTATGGGTCTCTGTGTGGTGAGTCTGTGGGTCTCTCCGTGGTGAGTCTATGTGTCTCTGTGTGATGAGTCTATGGGTCTCTGTGTGATGAGTCTATGTGTGTCTGTGTGATGAGTATATGTGTTTCTTTGTGGTCAGTCTATGGGTCTCTGTGTGATGAGTCTATGGGTCTCTGTGTGGTGAGTCTATGGGTCTCTTTGTGGTGAGTCTATGTGTCTCTGTGTGGTGAGTCTGTGTCTCTGTGTGATGAGTCTATGGGTCTCTGTGTGGTGAGTCTATGTGTCTCTGTGTGGTGAGTCTGTGTCTCTGTGTGGTGAGTCTATGTGTCTCTGTGTGACAAGTCTATGGGTCTCTGTATAAGTGTATAGGTATCTGTGTGATGAGTCTATGGGTCTCTCCGTGGTGAGTCTGTGGGTCTCTGTGTGATGAGTCTATGTGTATCTGTGTGGTGAGTCTATGGGCCTCTGTGAAGTGAGTCTATGTGTCTCTGTGTGGTGAGTCTATGTGTCTCTGTGTGGTGAGTCTATGGGTCTCTGTGTGATGAGTCTATGGGTCTCTGTGTGGTGAGTCTATGGGTCTCTGTGTGATGAGTCTATGGGCCTCTGTGTGGTGAGTCTATGTGTCTCTGTGTGATGAGTCCATGGGTCTGTGTGTGGTGAGTCTGTGTCTCTGTGTGGTGAGTCTATGGGTGTCTGTGTGGTGAGTCTATGTGTCTCTGTGTGGTGAGTCTATGTGTCTCTGTGTGGTGAGTCTATGGGTCTCTGTGTGGTGAGTCTATGTGTCTCTGTGTGGTGAGTCTATGTGTCTCTGTGTGGTGAGTCTGTGAGTCTCTGTGTGGTGAGTCTATGGGTCTCTGTGTGGTGAGTCTATGGGTCTCTGTGTGGTGAGTCTGTGGGTCTCTCCGTGGTGAGTCTATGTGTCTTTGTGTGATGAGTCTATGGGTCTCTGTGTGATGAGTCTATGTGTCTCTGTGTGATGAGTATATGTGTTTCTTTGTGGTCAGTCTATGGGTCTCTGTGTGATGAGTCTATGGGTCTCTGTGTGATGAGTCTATGGGTCTCTGTGTAGTGAGTCTATGGGTCTCTGTGTGGTGAGTCTATGTGTCTCTGTGTGGTGAGTCTGTGTCTCTGTGTGATGAGTCTATGGGTCTCTGTGTGGTGAGTCTATGTGTCTCTGTGTGGTGAGTCTGTGTCTCTGTGTAATGAGTCTATGGGTCTCTGTGTGGTGAGTCTGTGGGTCTCTGTGTGATGAGTCCATGGGTCTCTGTGTGGTGAGTCTATGTGTCTCTGTGTGGTGAGTCTGTGTCTCTGTGTAATGAGTCTATGGGTCTCTGTGTGGTGAGTCTATGTGTCTCTGTGTGGTGAGTCTATGTGTCTCTGTGTGGTGAGTCTGTGAGTCTCTGTGTGGTGAGTCTATGGGTCTCTGTGTGGTGAGTCTGTGGGTCTCTGTGTGGTGAGTCTGTGGGTCTCTGTGTGGTGAGTCGATGGGTCTCTGTGTGGTGAGTCTGTGGGTCTCTCCGTGGTGAGTCTATGGGTCTCTGTGTGATGAGTCTATGGGTCTCTGTGTGATGAGTCTATGTGTCTCTGTGTGATGAGTATATGTGTCTCTGTGTGGTCAGTCTATGGGTCTCTGTGTGATGAGTCTATGGGTCTCTGTGTGATGAGTCTATGGGTCTCTGTGTGGTGAGTCTATGGGTCTCTGTGTGGTGAGTCTATGTGTCTCTGTGTGGTGAGTCTGTGTCTCTGTGTGATGAGTCTATGGGTCTCTGTGTGGTGAGTCTATGTGTCTCTGTGTGGTGAGTCTGTGTCTCTGTGTAATGAGTCTATGGGTCTCTGTGTGATGAGTCTATGGGTCTCTGTGTGGTGAGTCTGTGGGTCTCTGTGTGATGAGTCCATGGGTCTCTGTGTGGTGAGTCTATGTGTCTCTGTGTGGTGAGTCTGTGTCTCTGTGTAATGAGTCTATGGGTCTCTGTGTGGTGAGTCTATGTGTCTCTGTGTGGTGAGTCTGTGTCTCTGTGTGATGAATCTATAGGTGTCTCTGTGTAATGAGTCTATGGGTCTCTGTGTGGTGAGTGTGTTGAGTCTATGTGTCTCTGTGTGTTGAGTCTACGTGTCTCTGTGTGTTGAGTCTATGAGCCTCTGTGCGGTGAGTCTATGTGTCTCTGTGCAAGTGTATTTGTCTCTACGTACGTTTGTATTTAAACGTATTTTGCACTTTACATAGCCAACCGTGCTACTCGGAGGAGCAGGGGAAAGACGACAAACCACAACAAAAAGCAGTTCTAAAGAAAGGAGTTTGTCAATCCAGACGATTTAAAAGTGCACAGCTCCAGTGGCTTCATAATATCGGAAGGAAAGAGCGTTCCAGACGGCCGCAGCAGCGCGTCTGAAAGCACCGTGCATTGCGGTGACCACCGCCTTTGTCCGGTGGTTAGCAGCTACAAGCAGCAGCGAGGATGACAGGAGTTCGTGTGATGGTGGTTGATGCTACGTGGGTAGTCAGTGGTGCAGTGTCAGTCAGTCGTGCAGTGTCAGTCAGTGGTGCAGTGTCAGTCAGTCGTGCAGTGACAGTCAGTCGTGGAGAGTCAGTCAGTCGTGGAGTGTCAGTCAGTGGTGCAGTGTCAGTCAGTGGAAAAAGTGTTAGTCAGTCGTGGAGTGTCAGTAAGTCGTGCAGTGTCAGTCAGTCGTGCAGGGTCAGTCAGTCGTGGAGTGTCAGTCAGTGGTGCAGTGTCAGTCAGTCGTGCAGTGTCAGTCAGTCGTGGAGAGTCAGTCAGTCGTGGAGTGTCAGTCAGTGGTGCAGTGTCAGTCAGTGGAAAAAGTGTTAGTCAGTCGTGGAGTGTCAGTAAGTCGTGCAGTGTCAGTCAGTCGTGCAGGGTCAGTCAGTCGTGGAGTGTCAGTCAGTGGTGCAGTGTCAGTCAGTCGTGCAGTGTCAGTCAGTGGTGCAGTGTCAGTCAGTCGTGGAGTGTCAGTCAGTGGTGCAGTGTCAGTCAGTCGTGGAGTGTCAGTCAGTGGTGCATTGTCAGTCAGTGGTGCAGTGTCAGTCAGTGGTGCAGTGTCAGTTAGTCGTGCAGTGTCAGTCAGTGGTGCAGTGTCAGTCAGTCGTGGAGTGTCAGTCAGTCGTGCAGTGTCAGTCAGTCGTGCAGTGTCAGTCAGTCGTGCAGTGTTAGTCAGTCGTGGAGTGTCAGTCAGTCGTGCAGTGTCAGTCAGTGGTGCAGTGTCAGTCAGTCGTGGAGTGTCAGTCAGTCGTGCAGTGTCAGTCAGTCGTGCAGTGTCAGTCAGTCGTGGAGTGTCAGTCAGTCGTGCAGTGTCAGTCAGCCGTGCAGTGTCAGTCAGTGGTGCAGTGTCAGTCAGCCGTGGAGTGTCAGTCAGTCGTGGAGTGTCAGTCAGTCGTGCAGTGTCAGTCAGTCGTGCAGTGTCAGTCAGTGGTGCAGTGTCAGTCAGTCGTGGAGTGTCAGTTAGTCGTGGAGTGTCAGTCAGTGGTGCAGTGTCAGTCAGTGGAAAAAGTGTTAGTCAGTCGTGGAGTGTCAGTAAGTCGTGCAGTATCAGTCAGTCGTGCAGGGTCAGTCAGTCGTGGAGTGTCAGTCAGTGGTGCAGTGTCAGTCAGTCGTGCAGTGTCAGTCAGTGGTGCAGTGTCAGTCAGTCGTGGAGTGTCAGTCAGTGGTGCAGTGTCAGTCAGTCGTGGAGTGTCAGTCAGTGGTGCAGTGTCAGTCAGTGGTGCAGTGTCAGTCAGTGGCGCAGTGTCAGTTAGTCGTGCAGTGTCAGTCAGTGGTGCAGTGTCAGTCAGTCGTGGAGTGTCAGTCAGTCGTGCAGTGTCAGTCAGTCGTGCAGTGTCAGTCAGTCGTGCAGTGTCAGTCAGTCGTGGAGTGTCAGTCAGTCGTGCAGTGTCAGTCAGTGGTGCAGTGTCAGTCAGTCGTGGAGTGTCAGTCAGTCGTGCAGTGTCAGTCAGTCGTGCAGTGTCAGTCAGTCGTGCAGTGTCAGTCAGTGGTGCAGTGTCAGTCAGTCGTGGAGTGTCAGTCAGTCGTGGAGTGTCAGTCAGTCGTGCAGTGTCAGTCAGTCGTGCAGTGTCAGTCAGTGGTGCAGTGTCAGTCAGTCGTGGAGTGTCAGTTAGTCGTGGAGTGTCAGTCAGTCGTGGAGTGTCAGTCAGTCGTGCAGTGTCAGTCAGTCGTGCAGTGTCAGTCAGTCGTGGAGTGTCAGTCAGTGGTGCAGTGTCAGTCAGTCGTGGAGTGTCAGTCAGTCGTGCAGTGTCAGTCAGTGGTGCAGTGTCAGTCAATCGTGCAGTGTCAGTCAGTCGTGCAGTGTCAGTCAGTCGTGGAGTGTCAGTCAGTGGTGCAGTGTCAGTCAGTCGTGGAGTGTCAGTCAGTCGTGGAGTGTCAGTCAGTCGTGCAGTGTCAGTCAGTCGTGCAGTGTCAGTCAGTCGTGGAGTGTCAGTCAGTTGTGGAGTGTCAGTCAGTCGTGCAGTGTCAGTCAGTCGTGGAGTGTCAGTCAGTCGTGCAGTGTCAGTCAGTCGTGGAGTGTCAGTCAGTCGTGCAGTGTCAGTCAGTGGTGCAGTGTCAGTCAGTCGTGGAGTGTCAGTCAGTCGTGGAGTGTCAGTCAGTCGTGCAGTGTCAGTCAGTCGTGCAGTGTCAGTCAGTGGTGCAGTGTCAGTCAGTCGTGGAGTGTCAGTCAGTCGTGGAGTGTCAGTCAGTCGTGCAGTGTCAGTCAGTCGTGCAGTGTCAGTCAGTGGTGCAGTGTCAGTCAGTCGTGGAGTGTCAGTCAGTCGTGCAGTGTCAGTCAGTGGTGCAGTGTCAGTCAATCGTGCAGTGTCAGTCAGTCGTGCAGTGTCAGTCAGTCGTGGAGTGTCAGTCAGTGGTGCAGTGTCAGTCAGTCGTGGAGTGTCAGTCAGTCGTGCAGTGTCAGTCAGTCGTGGAGTGTTAGTCAGTCGTGCAGTGTCAGTCAGTCGTGCAGTGTCAGTCAGTCGTGGAGTGTCAGTCAGTCGTGGAGTGTCAGTCAGTCGTGCAGTGTCAGTCAGTCGTGCAGTGTCAGTCAGTCGTGGAGTGTCAGCCAGTGGTGCAGTGTCAGTCAGTCGTGCAGTGTCAGTCAGTCGTGGAGTGTCAGTCAGTTGTGGAGTGTCAGTCAGTCGTGCAGTGTCAGTCAGTCGTGGAGTGTCAGTCAGTCGTGGAGTGTCAGTCAGTGGTCCAGTGTCAGTCAGTCGTGGAGTGTCAGTCAGTCGTGGAGTGTCAGTCAGTCGTGCAGTGTCAGTCAGTCGTGGAGTGTCAGTCAGTCGTGGAGTGTCAGTCAGTTGTGGAGTGTCAGTCAGTCGTGGAGTGTCAGTCAGTTGTGGAGTGTCAGTCAGTCGTGGAGTGTTAGTCAGTTGTGCAGTGTCAGTCAGTCGTGGAGTGTCAGTCAGTCGTGGAGTGTCAGTCAGTTGTGGAGTGTCAGTCAGTCGTGGAGTGTCAGCCAGTTGTGGAGTGTCAGTCAGTCGTGGAGTGTTAGTCAGTTGTGCAGTGTCAGTCAGTCGTGGAGTGTCAGTCAGTCGTGGAGTGTCAGTCAGTTGTGGAGTGTCAGTCAGTCGTGGAGTGTCAGTCAGTCGTGCAGTGTCAGTCAGTCGTGCAGTGTCAGTCAGTCGTGCAGTGTCAGTCAGTTGTGGAGTGTCAGTCAGTCGTGGAGTGTTAGTCAGTCGTGCAGTGTCAGTCAGTGGTGCAGTGTCAGTCAGTCGTGGAGTGTTAGTCAGTTGTGCAGTGTCAGTCAGTCGTGCAGTGTCAGTCAGTGGTGCAGTGTCAGTCAGTTGTGGAGTGTCAGTCAGTGGTGCAGTGTCATTCAGTCGTGCAGTGTCAGTCAGTTGTGGAGTGTCAGTCAGTGGTGCAGTGTCATTCAGTCGTGCAGTGTCAGTCAGTCGTGGAGTGTCAGTCAGTCGTGCAGTGTCAGTCAGTCGTGCAGTGTCAGTCAGTGGTGCAGTGTCAGTCAGTCGTGGAGTGTCAGTCAGTCGTGCAGTGTCAGTCAGTGGTGCAGTGTCAGTCAATCGTGCAGTGTCAGTCAGTCGTGCAGTGTCAGTCAGTCGTGGAGTGTCAGTCAGTGGTGCAGTGTCAGTCAGTCGTGGAGTGTCAGTCAGTCGTGCAGTGTCAGTCAGTCGTGGAGTGTTAGTCAGTCGTGCAGTGTCAGTCAGTCGTGCAGTGTCAGTCAGTCGTGGAGTGTCAGTCAGTCATGCAGTGTCAGTCAGTCGTGCAGTGTCAGTCAGTGGTGCAGTGTCAGTCAGTCGTGCAGTGTCAGTCAGTCGTGGAGTGTCAGTCAGTCGTGGAATGTCAGTCAGTGGTGCAGTGTCAGTCAGTCGTGAAGTGTCAGTCAGTCGTGGAGTGTTAGTCAGTCGTGCAGTGTCAGTCAGTCGTGCAGTGTCAGTCAGTCGTGCAGTGTCAGTCAGTCGTGGAGTGTCAGTCAGTCGTGGAGTGTCAGTCAGTGGTGCAGTGTCAGTCAGTCGTGCAGTGTCAGTCAGTGGTCCAGTGTCAGTCAGTGGTGCAGTGTCAGTCAGTTGTGGAGTGTCAGTCAGTCGTGCAGTGTCAGTCAGTCGTGGAGTGTCAGTCAGTCGTGGAGTGTCAGTCAGTGGTGCAGTGTCAGTCAGTCGTGCAGTGTCAGTCAGTGGTCCAGTGTCAGTCAGTCGTGGAGTGTCAGTCAGTCGTGGAGTGTCAGTCAGTCGTGCAGTGTCAGTCAGTCGTGCAGTGTCAGTCAGTGGTGCAGTGTCAGTCAGTGGTGCAGTGTCAGTCAGTGGTGCAGTGTCAGTCAGTCGTGCAGTGTCAGTCAGTCGTGGAGTGTCAGTCAGTCGTGGAGTGTCAGTCAGTCGTGGAGTGTCAGTCAGTCGTGCAGTGTCAGTCAGTCGTGGAGTGTCAGTCAGTGGTGCAGTGTCAGTCAGTCGTGGAGTGTCAGTCAGTGGTGCAGTGTCAGTCAGTCGTGCAGTGTCAGTCAGTCGTGCAGTGTCAGTCAGTGGTCCAGTGTCAGTCAGTCGTGCAAAAAATATACGAAATATTTTTACATGAAAAAAATATTAATAATTATTGAAAAAAATATGGGTTGGGCGGGGTTGGGGGGGCTGCCCCCCGCCATGATGAATCTGTGTCGGGAGAGGGCGGCGGAAGGCGTTGTACCGTACCGTCTACGGGCCGCGGGCAGATCTCGCAGGGATCTCCCCAGCCCTCGCCGGGCATGGCGCTACAGCAGCACTGTGCCTTGGAGGTGTTGAACGGCTTCGGTACAGAGCAGCGGCCCTCTTCGAAGCGCGTGAAGCAGTAGCTCTTGCGGGTGTCTGGCCACGCCGCGGTCACACGCAGGCCATCCGATACATACATAGAGAGAGAGGGTCACACACAGACCATCCGATACATACATAGAGAGAGAGGGTCACACGCAGACACTCCGATACATACATAGAGAGAGAGGATCACACGCAGACACTCCGATACATACATAGAGAGAGAGAGAGGATCACGAGTAGACCATCCGATACATACATAGAGAGAGAATCACGAGTAGACCATCCAATACATACATAGAGAGAGAGAGGATCACACACAGACACTCCGATACATACATAGAGAGAGAGAGGATCACGAGTAGACCATCCGATACATACATAGAGAGAGGACCACGAGTAGACCATCCGATACATACATAGAGAGAGAGAGGATCACGAGCAGACCATCCGATACATACATATAGAGAGAGGATCACACGCAGATCATCCGATACATACATAGAGAGAGAGAGAGAGGATCACGAGTAGACCATCCGATACATACATAGAGAGAGAATCACGAGTAGACCATCCAATACATACATATAGAGAGAGGATCACACGCAGACCATCCGATACATACATAGAGAGAGAGGATCACGAGCAGACCATCCGATACATACATAGAGAGAGAAGATCACACGCAGACACTCCGATACATACAGAGAGAGAGAGGATCACGAGCAGACCATCCGATACATACATAGAGAGAGGATCACACGCAGATCATCCGATACATACATAGAGAGAGAGGGTCACACGCAGACACTCCGATACATACATAGAGAGAGAGAGGATCACGAGTAGACCATCGATACATACATAGAGAGAGAGGATCACACGCAGATCATCCGATACATACATAGAGAGAGAGGATCACACAGATCATCCGATACATACATAGAGAGAGAGGATCACGAGTAGACCATCCGATACATACATAGAGAGAGAGGATTACACGCAGACGCTCTGATACATACATAGAGAGAGCGAGCGAGAGAGAGAATGGTTGAATAGCTGGGTGATGGTGTGAGCGAGTGAGCGCACGAGCAAGTGGGTGGGTGGATGAGCGAGTGGGTGAGCGAGTGGGTGAGCGAGTGGGTGAGCGAGTGGGTGGGTGGATGAGCGAGTGGGTGAGCGAGTGGGTGAGCGAGTGGGTGAGCGAGTGGGTGAGCGAGTGGGTGGGTGGATGAGCGAGTGGGTGAGCGAGTGGATGAGCGAGTGGGTGAGCGAGTGGGTGGGTGGATGAGCGAGTGGGTGAGCGAGTGGGTGAGCGAGTGGGTGAGCGAGTGGGTGAGCGAGTGGGTGAGCGGGTGAGTGCACAAGCCTGGCGGGAGACGCGGGTGGTGAGCGGGGCAGGGGAGCGGGCAAACGGGTGGGCGGGTGAATGATTGAGGGAGTGGGTTGACGAGTGAGTGAATGAGCGAGCTAGTGGGTGAGCGAGAGTGTGAATGAGCGAGCAAGCGAGGGAATGGGCGAGTGAACGAGCGGGCGAGTGAACGAGCGAGCGAGCGAGCGAGCGGGCGATGTCGTCGGCGAGTGAGCGAGCGGTCGGACGGGTGAGCGAGCGGGCGAATGGGCGGGCGGGCGACTCTCACCGTAGCACGTGCGTCCGTTGAGCGAGAGGACGAAGCCCGGCGGACAGCGGCACTGGAAGCTGCCCTTCGTGTTAACGCAGGTTCCCAGGAGGCACAGGCCCGGCTCACGCACGCACTCGTTCACATCTACACGGCGCACAGGCAGAGGCCCACCCCCCCCACCGTGTAGCGCTCACAGGTTGGAAGGGGGCTAGTGGTGTTTGTTAGCGAGAACCTATCCAGGCCAGCGTTGGCGCAAGACGGGGTGAGTGGCTAGCACCACGCCCGGCCGCCTTTGTCTGCCGAGCGGCGGCGCGCTCATTTGAGGCTGAGTCAACCTGAGGGAGGCCGAGATAATCGTCACCAGTGTTGGCCGTGAGCGGGAATGAGACTCGTGTGGCCGGGTTTGGAGCGCACCACCACAACTACCATTATCACCAATGCCATCACCGCCATCACCGCCACCACCATTACCACCACCACCACCATCACCGCCACCACCATTACCACCAATGCCAGCACCGCCACCACCATTACCACCAATGCCATCACCACCATTACCACCACTGCCACCACCACCACCGCCACCACCAATGCCATCACCACCACAACCACCATTACCACCAATGCCATCACCACCACAACCAATGCCATCACCACCACAACTACCATTACCACCAATGCCATCACCACCACCACCACCAATGCCACCACTGCCACCACCGCCACCACCATTGCCACCGTCTAAACCAACGCAACCCACCACCGCCACCACCACCATCACCCCTCACCTTTACAGACGTCCACCACCACCTCGTAGCCGGGGGGACAGACGCAGCGGAAGGAGCCCTCCAGATTTTGGCAGGAGCCCGGGGAACAGACGCCCGGCGTGGTCACACACTCGTTCACGTCTGTGGAGACACGGCGCCTGGTCACCGTCCACCGTCGCGTCTACCATCGTCTCCACCGTCCTAGTCCACCATTGTCGTCACCTTCACCGTCACCTTCACCGTGGCGTCCACCGTCACGTCTACCATCGTCTCCACCTTCCCAGTCCACAATTGTCGTCACCTTCACCGTCACCTTCACCGTAACCTTCACCGTAACCTTCACCGTGGCGTCCACCGTCACGTCTACCATCGTCTCCACCGTCCTAGTCCACCATTGTCGTCACCTTCACCGTCACCTTCACCGTAACCTTCACCGTGGCGCCCACCGTCACGTCTACCATTGTCTCCACCGTCCCAGTCCACAATTGTCGTCACCTTCACCGTCACCTTCACCTTCACCGTCACGTCTACCATTGTCTCCACCGTCCCAGTCCACCATTGTCGTCACCGTCACCTTCACCGTCACGTCCACCGTCGCGTGCCCAACTCCGTCATCGCAATGGACTCACACAGCCACCCACAGACACCATACACAGACCAACACACACACACACACTACACGCGGAATCACAGCGCCCCCAGTTGCGAATGGAACCCGGGCACTTCCTGCCCACCACCACGCCACCACCACCACGCCACCACCACCACGCCACCACCACGCCACCACCACCACGTCACTACCACCACCATCACCACCATCACCACCACCACCATCACCACCACCACCACCACCACACCACCACCACCACGTCACTACCACCACCATCACCACCACCACCACCACCACCATCACCACCACCACCACTACCAGGCCACCACCACCACCACCACCACGCCACCACCACCACCACCACCGCCACCACCATCACCACCGCCACCACCACCACCACCACCGCCACCACGCCCACCCGGCGGCGCCCTCACCGCGGCAGCTCTTGCGGTCGGGCGTCATCTCGTAGCCGGCATTGCAGTGGCACTGGAATGAGCCCACGGTGTTGACGCAGCCTCCGCTGCGGCACACGTGGGCCCGCATGGACACACACTCGTCCACGTCTGGGGGGGGGGAGCGGTCAGAATCATCGGCGGCGTCACAATGCACGGGCCGATAGCCACGTAGGCGGTCCTCACTGCGCCTTCGGTGCCGTGGTGGCTGGGATGCAGGAGGTCGCGGGATCGATCCCAAACCCTGACGCCGGCTGCTGTATATTTGGAGTTTTTGTGTGTGTGTGTGTCTCTCTCTCTCTCTCTCCTCGTGGTCACGTGGACTTTTCTGTGGGTCCTCCGGTCGGGCTCGAACCCACGGCCTCCTCTATGCCGGGCGCACTTAACGACCATCTTCCCCAGAAGCCAATCTTGGCACCGCCGGTACCACAAGATCCCCCCCTGTTGCAGCCTTAACGGACTGCTGGTGCGAGTGCTGTTAGCGAGCAGCGCTTGTGAAGGCCGTTACGACAGAAAGGGATGCGTGGCCAGCATCACGCCCGGCCGTCTTTGTCTCTCAAGTGCTGATGTATACACACCTCAGCAGATACAAATGTTAAGGCTGAGTCGACCTAGGGGAGGCCCAGGACCGGTTCAGATAATCGTCACTGGGTGTTGGCCGTGAGCGGAAATCGAACTCGGGTCGCCGGGTTCGTAGTGCAGCGTAGTGCTAACCACTACACTACCGCTCCACACACATATACACACACGCGCGCGTGCAAACACGTACATACGCACGTACACACGCGCACACACACACACGAACGCACGCACACACGTACGCATGCACGCACACACACGCACGCACACACACGCACGCACACACACGCATGCACACACACGCGTGCAATCACGCGCGCACACACACGCGTGCAATCACGCGCGCACACATACGCACGCACGTACGCACACGTACGCACACGTACGCACGCACACACGCACGCACGCACACACGTATGCACGCACGCACATACGTACGTACGCACGCAGACACACACGTACGCACACACGTACACACACACGCACACACACACACGTACCGACGCATGTACGCACACACACACGTACGCGCACACACACGCACGCACACACACACGCACACACACACACACGCACACACACACACGCGCACACACACACACGCGCACACGCACACACACGCACACACACACGCACACACACGCACACACACACACGCACACACACACGTACGCACGCAGACACACACGTACGCACACACACACACACAAACATACACACACACGTACACACACACACACACACGTACCGACGCAGTCGATGTTGTGGCTGAGCTCGAAGCCCGGGAAGCAGAGGCAGTTGTAGGAGCCGATGGTGTTCTTGCACGTCCCGTTACCACACGGACGCCGCTCACACTCGTCCACATCTAGCGGGGGGGGGGGCGAGGAGGGGAGTGAGGGGTCACGCGGGGGGGGTGAGGGGGGTGGGGGGGGGGGGGCGAGGAGGGGAGTGAGGGGCCACGCGGGGGGGTGGGGGGGTGGGGGGGGGGGGGCGAGGAGGGGAGTGAGGGGCCACGCGGGGGGGTGGGGGGGGGGGAGCTCCGGCAAGGGACAGACAGGGACCGGCCTGCCAAGATTCGTCACGGGGGAAGCTCGGAGCGAGAGTTACACATCGTAGCCGGGGGGTTGTTGTTGTTGTTGGTGGTGGTGGTGATGGTGGTGGTGATGGTGGTGGTGGTGGTGATGGTGGTGATGGTGGTGGTGGTGATGATGATGGTGGTGATGGTGGTGGTGATGGTGGTAGTGGTGGTCATGGTGTTGGTGATGGTGGTGTTGGTGGTGATAATGGTGGTGGTAATGGTGGTGGTGATGATGGTGGTGGTGATGGTGGTAGTGGTGGTCATGGTGTTGGTGATGGTGGTGTTGGTGGTGATAATGGTGGTGGTGATGGTGGTGGTGATGGTGGTGGTGATTATGGTGGTGATGGTGGTGATGATAATGGTGGTGATGGTGGTGATGGTGGTGATTATGGTGGTGGTGGTGGTGATGGTGGCGATGGTGGTGATTATGGTGGTTTTGGTGGTGTTGATGATGGTGGTGATGTTGGTGGTGGTGATGGTAGCTATGGGACCTTTTATCCAGCATCAAAAAACAATAATCAGTTTAACCCCTTCTCGGTAACAACATAGGAGGCGTGAAGGTGCTCAAACACCAATTAGGTGCCTCTTGCAGGGCAATCGGGCCAGCATTCACCACTCGTACTTGTGACGCGCCGCCTTTGAAACCGATTGGCCTTCACCATAGACACCAGAAGCCGCCTTTGATGCCCGTGTGTCTCACCAACGGTGTTGGCTTTGGAACTGTTCACCCTTTTGGCGTTCTCTGCAGGTGAACGTGTGGGTGTGCAGGTGTGCGTGTGTGCGCACGTATGTGTAGGTGTGTACGTGTGTGTGCACGTGTGTGTGTCTGTGCAGGTGTGTATACGTATCGTGTGCGTACGTGTGCGCGTATGTGTGTGCGCGCGTGTTTGTGCACGCGTGTGTAGGTGTGCGTAGGTGTGCGTGCGTGTGTGTAGGTGTGTGTGCGGTGTGTAGGTGCGTACGCACGTGTACGTACGCGCGTGTGTGGGGAGCGTTAGTGTGGCTCTTAACGCGCTGCGCTATGAACCCGGCGAACCCGGGTTCGATCCCCGCTCACGGCCAACACCGGTGACCATCATCTGAACCGGTCCTGGGCCTCATCCAAGGTCGACTCGGCCTCAAACGAGTAACCGGTGCAATGTGCAGTAAACATCCTCACTGGGGAGACAAAGGCGGTCGGGCGCGGTGCTGGACACCCACCCCCCTCGTGTGCCACCATTCCGGCCTTCACAGGTGCTGCTCGCTAACAGCACTTGCCCCTACAGTCTGTTACAGGCTACACGGGGGATCTTTGTCTCTGTAGGTGCGCGTGTTGGCACGTGTATGTACGCGCGTGCGTGCGTGCGCGTGCGTGCGTGCGTGTAGGTGCGTGCGTGTAGGTGCGTACGTGTAGGTGCGTGCGTGTAGGTGCGTGCGTGCGTGTAGGTGTGTGCGTGTAGGTGCGTGCGTGTAGGTGCGTGCGTGCAGGTGCGTGCGTGTAGGTACGTGTGCGTGCATGTAGGTGTGCGTGCGTGTAGGTGTGTGCGTGTAGGTGTGCGTGCGTGTAGGTGCGTGTGCGTGTAGGTACGTGTGCGTGCATGTAGGTGCGTGCGTGTAGGTACGTGTGCGTGCGTGCGTGTAGGTGTGCGTGCGTGCGTGTAGGTGTGTGCGTGTAGGTGTGCGTGCGTGTAGGTGCGTGTGCGTACGTGCGTGTAGGTGCGTGCGTGTAGGTGCGTGCGTGTAGGTGCGTGTAGGTGCGTGTAGGTGCATGCGTGTAGGTGCGTGCGTGTAGGTGCGTGTAGGTGCGTGTAGGTGAGTGCGTGTAGGTGCGTGCGTGTAGGTGCGTGCGTGCAGGTGCGTGCGTGTAGGTGCGTGTGCGCGTGCATGCGTGTAGGTGCGTGCGTGTAGGTGCGTGCGTGTAGGTGCGTGTAGGTGCGTGTAGGTGCGTGCGTGTAGGTGCGTGCGTGTAGGTGCGTGCGTGTAGGTGCGTGTGCGCGTGCATGCGTGTCGGTGCGTGCGTGTAGGTGCGTGCGTGTAGGTGCGTGTAGGTGCGTGTAGGTGCGTGCGTGTAGGTGCGTGCGTGTAGGTGCGTGCGTGTAGGTGCGTGTGCGCGTGCATGCGTGTAGGTGCGTGCGTGTAGGTGCGTGCGTGTAGGTGCGTGTAGGTGCGTGTAGGTGCGTGCGTGTAGGTGCGTGTAGGTGCGTGTAGGTGCGTGCGTGTAGGTGCGTGCGTGTAGGTGCGTGCGTGTAGGTGCGTGCGTGTAGGTGCGTGTGCGCGTGCATGCGTGTAGGTGCGTGCGTGTAGGTGCGTGCGTGTAGGTGCGTGTAGGTGCGTGTAGGTGCGTGCGTGTAGGTGCGTGCGTGTGCGCGTGCATGCGTGTAGGTGCGTGCGTGTAGGTGCGTGCGTGTAGGTGCGTGCGTGTAGGTGCGTGCGTGCGTGTAGGTGCGTGTAGGTGCGTGCGTGTAGGTGCGTGCGTGTAGGTGCGTGCGTGTAGGTGCGTGCGTGTAGGTGCGTGTAGGTGCGTGTAGGTGCGTGCGTGTAGGTGCGTGCGTGTGCGCGTGCATGCGTGTAGGTGCGTGCGTGTAGGTGCGTGCGTGTAGGTGCGTGCGTGTAGGTGCGTGCGTGCGTGCGTGTAGGTGCGTGTAGGTGCGTGTAGGTGCGTGTGTGCGCGCCACCCACCCATGCACATGCCCCTGTCGGGGGTGGCCCGGTACCCGTTGGGGCACAGGCAATGGTAGCCGCCCTCCTGGTCCACGCAGCGTCCCGGGCTGCACACGCCGGGCAGCTCCTGGCACTCGTCGCGATCTCACCACGGCAGAGACAAAGCAGCCCAAGCAGCCCAAGCAGGCCCAAGCAGGGCCCCCCTGAGTAAGCCTCCGTAGCGGACCGTCGGGGCGCGGCCGGCCGCGGGGGGAGGGGGCCCCAGAGACGGCCGGAGGGAATTGTTCACCGCTGGCGTTGGCCGTGGGCGGGGATCAAAGTCGGGTGGCTGGGTTGGTGGGGGGGGGAGAGGGGGGTGGCGAGGGGGGGGCGAGAGGGGGGGGGCGAGGGGGGGGGCGAGGGGGTGGGCGAGGGGGGGGGGGGGGCGAGTGGGGGGGCGAGGGGGGGGGGCGAGGGGGGGGGTACTCACCGACGCAGGCTCCGAAGGGCGTGAGTAGGAATCCGCGAGAGCACTCGCAGCGGAAGCTGCCGGGGATGTTGACGCAGTCGGCGTGGCGCTGACACATGACGTCACTCGAGCACTCGTCGATGTCTGCACACGGGCAGCGACACCGCCGTCGTCATCATCATCGTCATCATCACTGACACCACCATCATCGTCATCATCACTGACACCACCATCATCGTCATCATCACTGACACCACCATCATCGTCATCATCACTGACACCACCATCATCGTCATCATCACTGACACCATCATCGTCATCATCACTGACACCATCATCGTCATCATCACTGACACCATCATCGTCATCATCACTGACACCATCATCGTCATCATCACTGACACCATCATCGTCATCATCACTGACACCATCATCGTCATCATCACTGACACCATCATCGTCATCATCACTGACACCATCATCGTCATCATCACTGACACCATCATCGTCATCATCACTGACAGCGCCATCATCACTGACACCGCCATCACCATCACCATCATCACTGACACCACCACCATCATCATCATCACCATCATCACTGACACCACCACCATCATCATCATCACCATCATCACTGACACCACCACCATCATCACTGACACCACCATCATCATCACCATCATCACTGACACCGCCATCACCACCATCACCATCATCACTGACACCACCATCATCATTGCCACCATCATCACCATCATCACTGACACCGCCATCACCATCATCATGGTCACTGCCACCACCGCCACCATCGTGGTGCAGGGGCTTCGTGTGGAGCGGTAGAGAGAGGGCACGGCAGCTTCCACACACAGCGTTACACACACACAGTGTTACACACAGCGTTACACACACAGTGTTACACACACAGTGTTACACATACAGTGTTACACACACAGTGTTACACACAGTGTCACACACAGTGTTACACACACACAGTGTTACACACAGTGTCACACACAGTGTTACACACACACAGTGTTACACACAGTGTTACACACACATACACTCACAGTGTTACACACACACAGTGTTACACACAGTGTTACACACACACACTCACAGTGTTACACACACACACAGTGTTACACACAGTGTTACACACACAGTGTTACACACACAGCGTTACACACACAGTGTTACACACACAGCGTTACACACACAGTGTTACACACACACAGCGTTACACACACAGTGTTACACACACACAGCGTTACACACAGTGTTACACACATACACAGCGTTACACACAGTGTTACACACATACACAGCGTTACACACAGTGTTACACACAACAACAACAACCGCCATTCGCCACTAAGTGGCGGTGACGTCACCACGACGCTTGTGCCAGGCTATGTGCACCCTGAGGCCACGTGAAGTGTCGAACGCCCGCTGGCAGGAGGTCACGGGGCAGACCCAGGTGCCACGGGTCGACTGACTGAGATGACTGGCTGATGCACCACCTGTGCCCCCTACTGTGCCAACCTGCTGTGCTTTAGCCACCCGGCGCTCCGCTCGCTGTTGTGAGCGTCGCTCCTCCGCCCTCCGTTGTTGTTGGAGGGCGACTGCCTCCAACTGCCCAGTAGCATCCTTCACAAGCCTCCTCCACAGAGGCCGATCTTGACACCGCTGGTACCAGTCATCGGCAAGTCCACTCAGCTCCACGTCCTCCTGTACCACATCACTCCATCTCTTCTCTAGCCCGTGCCGCGCCCGCTTAGCCCCCTCAATCCGGCCAAACAAAAGCTGTTTCGGCATGCGGTGGCTGGGCATGCGGGCTACATGACCCAGCCATCGCAGCCTTGCCTGCCGGAGGAGCTCACCGATGGGACCCTGCCCAGATCTTTCAAGGATTTGTGAGCTCCTCACACAATCCAGTCTGGTTAAACCCAGGATGGATCGTAGGCAGGCCAGCCTAAATGTTTCTAACCGGCGAAGATGTTCCATTAGGGGGGTCCACGTTTCGCAAGCGTAGAGAAGGGAGGGAATGACCGTGGCCGAGAAGACCTGAAGCTTAGTGCGGAGCGACAGACCAGGTAGCTTCCACACAGCGTTACGCAACCGATGAAAAGATATTGCCGCTCGACTGATTCGGAGTGAGACCTCTGCTGTTAAACTGGAGCCAGTCATAAGCACACTGCCCAGGTATGGGAAACTCTCCACTCTCTCCACAACTGCCCCATCACCGATTGGGAGTTGTGGGGGTGGAGTGTCCGATGGTACAAAATACCCAGGCAGCTGCTTAGTTTTGATGGGGCTGATGGTAAGGCCCCACCTCTTAGTGGCACGCTCCAGTCTCAGCAGCAGCGTCTCCAACTCCTCCTCTGACTGAGCAGCTATTACCAAATCATCAGCATACATAACGTGGTTGAGCAATAGGGAGCCATCCCTTGACCGCACCCGGGCATCGATTAGCCTCCCATTATATCTGTACCATATGGAGATTCCCCCGGTAAAGCTATTGAAGGCTTCACGAACTACGTGGTCAAAATAGATGTTAAATAATGTGGGAGCCAGAGGACATCCCTGTCGCACCCCAAGGTGTACAGGGAATGGCTCTGACTCCCGGCCACGTAGTTTTACCCGGGCCCGCTCACCATCATGAAGGTCCTTAATGATCGTGAGCAGAGGGTCAGGTACTCCAAAAGCACGAAGAACGACCCAGAGCCCAGGCCTACTGATGGTATCATAGGCCTTGACCAGGTCAATAAAGCAGAGATGTAGGTCTTGTTGGAATTCCCTACACCTCTGCTGTAGCAGACGGACAGAAAATATAGCATCTGTGCAGGACCGCCCTTTCCTGAAACCGCATTGGGGCTCCGCAAGCCTCTCCTCAGCGTGCCTGGCAAGGCGATGCTGAATAATCCTTGCCAGGACCTTTCCGGCACACTGAGGAGTGAGATGCCCCTGTAGTTGTTACAGTCTGTGCGGTCCCCCTTCTTAAAAAGGGGGACCACCAGGGCATCCTTCCAATCCTGCGGAACCCGTCCAGTGATCCAGACTGTTGTTATGATGTCATATAGGGCAGTCTGTGCACAAACGCCACCCTCCCTCAGCATTTCGCTTGGGAGATCATCTCTGCCCGCTGCCTTTCCTGGTCTCAGACTCCGGATCGCCTTCAATACTTCCTCAGCAGATGGCACCTCAGCCAGCCACTCACAGGGGGTGACTTCATCCAATATTTGATGCACCGCAGCCTCTGCAGGGTCATCCTCACTTTGTGCCACGATGTTTTCCTGGCTGAGGGATTTTCCCTCCCCCAGGACCTCACAGAAATGCTCAGCAAATCTGCGAACCTGTTTCTGGGGGTCGGAAATTGGATCACCGTTTTTTCCCCTAATGATGGTAATAGGTGTGGCGCTGCAGGTTGCTTTTTTGATGGAGTTAAATAGAGATTTGTGATCACGGGCCACTGAGGCAGACTCCATCGCCTCAGCAACCCGCGACCACCACCCATCCTTGCAGCGCCTCACGGCTCTCCGAACCTCCGAGCGAAGGCTGCGGTAAGCCTCCTCATTCTCTGACGTGGGATTCTGTAGCCGATGACAGTGGGCCTGTCGCTTTTTCTCAACCATCCTGAACAACTCCTCTGTCATCCAGGGTGTCTGGGGAGGTCTGGACCGCATACCCAAAGCAGCCATTGCAGCTGCATGAGTCACAGTCCTAAACCTCGCCCATTTACCCTCGACATCAGGAGGAGTTGGGGACGATGCCAATCCCAGCCGCAAGCGATGATGAAATTCTCGCTTGCAACTTTCATCAGATAACTGAGACCAGGCCACTTTAGGTTGGAATGGGGTCCTGGGTGTACACCCACCACCAGAGTGGAAGAATGGCAGGCGCATCTTACAGATGACTAGTCCATAATAAAGGTTTTTGGGTTAGATCGCGTTTATTTATAAATGTGTCGTAACCCTCCACCACCCGACACGGCCAATCAGCAAAAAAAGTGTCACGTTGACAAAAGACAAATAATTCACCACTTCAGCTCACCGGTGTGTTGAAGAGTTAATCCACATTTACAGTTTGAGTACGACGTTTCGCTGGTAAATACTTCCAGCATCATCGGGCAATTCGCCAGAATGGTAAAGCCCTCGCTTGCTCCCGGTTTTATATAGAGCAGCAGGGTGACGTCATCATGACTAGTCGATGGTCAGAGGGCAGATCAGCTCCACGGTAGGTCCTGGTGTCAAGGACATGGGCTCGCATTCGCTGGTCCGTCACTATGTAGTCCAGCAGATGTTCTTGCTTGGACCCGGCATGCATCCATGATGTTGTGTGGATGCGCCGATGCCGGAACAGCGTGTTGGTAATTACAAGCCCATGGGCTGCACAAAAATCTAGCAGCCTCCTACCGTTGTTATTGAGCTGATCTGGCCCATGCCCTCCAATCACTCCAGACCAGGTGCCAGTATCATGACCAACTCGGGCATTGAAGTCACCCAACATGATGACTCTATCCCGAGGGGCCACTTTAGCCAGCACCTGTGACAGGAGGTCATAGAAGGCATCTGACTCATCGGCTTTGCCTGCATCCCTCCACGGATGTTCATCTTCGGTGGGGGCATAAGTAACCACGACCACCATTCCTCGCCTCCGGATGATGGGAAGGCGAGCCCAAAGTAGCCTGGGGCTTACAGCTTCCCACACCTCACCGCCACGCTCCCACGCCCCCTTCATTCTTTTGTTCAAAAGAAGACCCACACCCTGTTGTTTGGCAGTCTGCTGCCCCGAGTAGAGGACTGTCCACCCCTCATGGTGGCAGGAGCCAGAGCCGGTCCACCGGACCTCCTGAATGCCGCATAGATCCAGGCGGTACCAGTCCAGCTCCCGACAGAGGAGTGGCAGCCTCTCCTCTGCAGTGAGCGTTCGAACATTCCACGTGGCCACCCGTAGTGGCTTTTCGTTGTTTCTGGAGTAGCCCCGAGGGTAGGTATTCAATCTCCTTACACACAGTGTTACACACATACACAGCGTTACACACAGTGTTACACACACACACAGCGTTACACACACACACAGTGTTACACACACACAGTGTTACACACACACACACAGCTTTACACACAGTGTTACACACATCGATGATGATGATGATGTTGACGATGGTGATGTTGATGATGATCATGATGATGATCACCATGATAATGATGATGACGATGATGATGACTCTGACGATGATAACGATGATGACGATGACGGTGATCATAATGATGATGATGATGACGATGGAGATGAGGATGATGACGATGTTGACGACGATAATCTGAATGATGATAATGCCGTCGACGGCTATGACGATGAGGATGACAATGACGACGATGAGCGTGTCGATGGTCGCACCTTCACAGACGAGCAGCAGGTCGTTGTAGCTGAATCCGATGGGGCACTCGCAACGGAAGCTGCCCGGCTGGTTGATGCACAGCCCGTTGGCACAGATGCCCGGGATGGCAGTGCACTCATCGATGTCTGGCGGCAGCGGTGGCACGCATGAGACACCAGGGGAGACACCGGGGGAGACACGGGGGAGACACGGGGGAGACACGTGAGTGGGGAGACACGGGGGAGACACGGGGGAGACACGGGGGAGACACGTGAGTGGGGAGACACCGGGGAGACACGGGGGAGACACGGGGGAGACACGGGGGGAGAGACACCGGGGGAGACACGGGGGAGACACGTGAGTGGGGAGACACCAGGGAGACACCGGGGGAGACACGGGGGAGACACGGGGGGAGAGACACGGGGGAGACACGGGGGAGACACGGGGGGAGAGACACGGGGGGGAGACACGGGGGAGACACGGGGGAGACACGGGGGAGACACGTGAGTGGGGAGACACCGGGGAGACACCGGGGGAGACACGGGGGAGACACGGGGGAGACACGGGGGAGAGACACGGGGGAGACACGGGGGAGACACGGGGGAGACACGGAGGAGACACGGGGGGGGGGAGACACGGGGGAGACACGGGGGAGACACGGGGGGGGGAGACACGCGGGAGACACGGGGGATTCACGGGGGAGACGTGGAGGGGCGGGGGGGAGACACGGTGTGAGACACGGGGGGGGGGGGGGGGGACCCGGTGGAGACACGGGGGGTGAGTGGAGGGTAGTGGAGTGAGATTGGATGGGGGAGGAAGAAGAATTCCTGGAGGGGAGTGGAGTGAGATGAGAGGGGAGTGGAGTGAGATGAGAGGGGAGTGGAGTGAGATGAGAGGGGAGTGGAGTGAGGTGAGAGGGGAGTGGAGTGAGATGAGAGGGGAGTGGAGTGAGATGAGAGGGGAGTGGAGTGAGGTGAGAGGGGAGTGGAGTGAGATGAGAGGGGAGTGGAGTGAGATGAGAGGGGAGTCGAGTGAGAGGAGAGGGGAGTGGAGTGAGATGAGAGGGGGGTGGAGTGAGATGAGAGGGGAGTGGAGCATGATGAACCGTGCATGTTTGGGGGTCCCTAGGAATGGCCTCGTATGGCAGGGGGGAGGGGGGGGGTCGTGACCTCACCTACTGGCTTCCCTGTTATGAAGTCGATCTCAAATCCTGGCACCTGGCTCCCACAGAGGCTCACAAAAGCTCCTGCTCACAGCAAACACACCGCGTCACACCACACCGCGTCACACCACACCACGTCACACCACACCACGTCAAACTTCGCCGAATGACACCGTGCTGAATCACACCACACCACGTCCCACCACGCCACGTCACACCACGTCACACCACGTCACACTATGCCACGTCACACCACGCCACGTCACACCACGCCACGTCACACCACGCCACGTCACACCACATCACACCACGCCACGTCACACCACGCCACGTCACACCATGCCACGTCACACCACGCTACACCACACCACGTCACACCACGCCACGTCACACCACGCCACGTCACACCACGCTACACCACACCACGTCACACCACGCCACGTCACACCACGCCACGTCACACCACGCCACGTCACACTCTGCCACGTCACACCACGCCACGTCACACCACGACACCCCACGTCACACCACGCCATGTCACACCACGTCACGTCACACTATGCCACGTCACACCACGCCACGTCACACCACGCTACACCACGTCACACCACGCCACGTCACACCACGCCACGTCACACCACGCCACGTCACACTATGCCACGTCACACCACGCCACGTCACACCACGACACCCCACGACACACCACGCCATGTCACACCACGCCACGTCACACTATGCCACGTCACACCATGCCACGTCACACCACGCCACACCACGTCACACCACGCAACGTCACACCACGCCGCGTCACACCACGCCACGTCACACCACGCCACGTCACACCACAACACGCCACGTCACACCACGTCACACCACGCCACGTCACACCACGCCGCGTCACACCACGCCACGTCACACCACGCCACGTCACACCACCCCACGTCACACCACGCCACGTCACACCACGCCACGTCACACCACGCCACGTCACACCACCCCATGTCACACCACGCCACGTCACACCACCCCACGTCACACCACGCCACGTCACACCACAACACGCCACGTCACGCCACGTCACACCGCGCCGCGGCCGGGGCGAGACTCACGCGTGCCGGGGCTGGGGCACGGCTCGCACGGCCGGTGCCAGCCCTTGCCGATGTTGTAGCCACAGCAGCATTGCTTCTTGGTGAGGTTGAAGGTGAGCTCGTTCTCGCACGTCACGTTGTACACCTTGTAGCAGAAGCTGCGCCGCATGTCTGGCCGGCCCGCCGCCGTTGTCGGGAAGACGCGGACCGACGGACCGACGGACCGACGGACCGACGGACCGACGGACCGACGGACCGACGGACGGACGGACGGACACGTGCACAAACAAGGCGGCACACAACGGGAGGGTGACACAAGCGCGGTTAAGCCGAATGAGAAAGTACGCACGACGGTGTAAGCAAAAAGGAACGCACTCTTTGGTTCTATTCGGTAAAGTCACGTAGGTAAACAATAAAATTAAATAAAACAGCAAAAATCACGACGTTTCGGCAACAACACAAGCGGCCTTCATCAGGCTTGTGTTGTGGCAGAAACGTCGTGATTTTTGTTGTTTCATTTTATTTTATTTTTTTACCTACTACGTGACTTTTACCGAATAGAACCAAAGAGAGTGGATCCTTGCAGTCACGAAAGCTTCAAATCTAGAAAAGGAGCGTACAATGACGTGGGTAAACACGCGGATATGCGGACAGGCAAGCCGGGAAACGCCACGAACAGGCAAGCGAACGTATAAACAACAAGGCATGTAAACATTACACGGGCAAAAAAAACAAACACACTAGCACACAAACAGGTGAGCAAGCAATACATGTAAACAGACAGATACACAGAGGTAAACAAATACACAAACAGGCAAACAAACAGCGGCAAAACAAATCACAATAAATGCTTTGATAGACACCTTGGTTGTCAAATAAATAACCAAAAAAAGCAGAACTCAAACCATCTACAAAGAGACTGCGTTGCCGCGACACGGCGTTGGCGCTCGCATATCCTGATTAGAGTCCCAAGCCAGTGGTGGAAACTCCACTTCCCTATGGCGGGGATGAGTTGAGCCATCAAGACCCCACTGTTTGATCGACAGACACGTACGGACAGGCACACATACGGACGGACTGATCGCTGAACCGACGGAAAAGAGATAGACCCACTGACTGACGCAGATCGACTGACCGACAGACGGACAGGAAGGACTGAGAGAGACACGCGACCAACAGATGGACGGACGGATTGTCTGCATACACACGCGCACACAAAGACAACAAAGACCCCCCGTGTAGCCTGAACAGACTGCAGGGGCAAGTGCCGTCAGCGAGCACCTATGAAGGCCGGCACGAGGGGGTGGGTGGCCAGCGCCACGCCCGACCGCCTTTGTCTCCCCAGTGGCGATGTTTACACACCGCACCAGGTACTCATTTGAGGCTGAGTCGACCTAGGGGAGCAGGCCCAGGATCGGTTAAAATAATCGCCACCGGTGTTGGCCGTGAGTGGGAATCGAACTCGGGGTTGCCGGGTTCGTAGCGCAGCGTAGCGCTAACCGCTGCACCACCGCTCCCCACTACACACACACACAGGCACGCGTACACACGAGTACACACGTGTACACACACGTACACACACGTACACACACGTGTACACACGAGTACACACACGCGCACACACGCGTACAGACACACGTACGCACACATAAACAAGCGTAAACACACGTACACACACACACGTACACACACGCGCACACACACGTGTACACACGAGTACACACACGCGTACACACACACGTACATGCGCGCACGCTGCGCACACACGTATGCGCACACACGCACGTTACGCACGTACGTTACACACGCGCGTACACACGCGTACACACGCGCACGTTACACACGCGCGCACACACACGTACGCACACACGTACACGCACGTACACACACACGCGTACACACACGCGCGCGCACGCAGGGCAGTGCGTGCGCGGTGCGGCGCTGCGCTGCGTGGCCACCCACCCATGCAGTTGTTGCCCCCGTTGGTCTGCATGTAGTCGGGAGGGCACACGCACGTGTAGTTGCCCACCGTGTTGAAGCACGTGCCGGGCCCGCAGATCTGTGGCGTCGCGGCGCACTCGTCCACGTCTGGGTGGTTTGTGACGACGACGACGACGACGAACAGACAAACGAGAGGAAAACAACAACAACAGACAAACAACAACCACAGACAAACAACACGCCGGAGGTTTGAATCCCCTCGCGGCCCTTGCCCCCCCCCCCCCAACCGTCACCTCGCTTCTCTCGTCTCGTCACGTGTCAACCCCCCCCCCCACCTACTCCCCGCTCCGCTCTCAATGTCTCCCAGCGCTCCTTCGCCGCCGCCCCTCTCTCCTCGTGCACAATCACCAACTCCGCTCCTTGTCCCGACTTCGCAGCCCTTGCACTGGAACAAGCTTCCCCTCCACGCTCAGCAGCAGCAGCAGCAGCAGGAAGCTCCCTCTCTCCCCTACTCACTCATTGGTTGTTTTTTTCCGGTAAAGTCACGAATGTAGAAATACAATAAAATTATATTTACACAAAAAAAACAATCACGACGTTTCGATCACAACGCAAGCGATCTTCATCGGGTGTCAAGAACAAATCACGGAGGTAAATACGGCACAAAGATGAGAGACGAGAATTCAACAAACCTGAAAAAAACATTATGTGAAGCACATCCAGTCAGGCCAACGACACAGTTAGACACTTCCTGGCGGACCACGAATTTCAGAAGAGTGTTAAATTTCGTGTTCAACCTTTGGATTGCACTTACCAGCACAGATAGAATGAAAAATAGGAGGTACACGGTCAGTAGAAATACATATACAAGTCCACCAAGAGGTAAGGAGGGAGGAAAGACGGACAGGGAGGCAGAGAGAGGGGGGTCAGAGGGATGAACAGAAGCTTAAATAGTAAATACGGTTGGAGGGGGTGAGGGGCCAGAGCGAGAGCGGCAGCTCGAACACGCAACATCTTACACATACAAAACGGCAGCTCAAAAAAGGACCACCTCTTGTAAATACAAGGCAGCTCAAAAAAGGACCACCTCTTGTAAAGACCCCCTTCTGCCTGGCCCATGCTTCCCTCCATCCCTAGGCACCCCCGGGAATTCCCGTACCCACTAAACCTCCCTCCCTATAACCCCATCACCATTAAGCAACCAGCCTCTCCCTGTCGAGATTCCGCTGCTCCGTCAAGACCCCCTTCTCCCTGGCCCATGCTTCCCTCCATCCCTAGGCACCCCCGGGAATTCCCGTACCCACTAAACATCCCCCTCCCCGCCACCCATACCCCCATCACTATTCACCGCATCGCTTTTATTAACCCTCGTTGTACCACTCGTAACCCCTTGCAAAGCGCCTTGGATGAAAGCCCCATGCAAATATAAGATCAGAAAATAAATAAACGTAGCACGGGGGGAGGGGGGGCGGTGGGGGGGAGACCGGTGACCACCTTCCGCATTCGGCTACTCCCCACGCTGGCGTGTAAGACGCATGCTCGCGAGGCGGTCGATCGGACGGGCAGCACCACGCCCCGGCCACCTTTGTCTCCCCAGTGGCGAGGTTCTAAACGTCGCACCGGGTACTCGAGGTGCTAGTCGACCTCGCTGCGCAGCGCGGAGCGCTGACCTCTCCTGCTGACCTCTCTGCTGACCTCTCCTGCTGACCTCTCCTGCTGACCTCTCCTGCTGACCTCTCTGCTGACCTCTCCTGCTGATCTCTCCTGCTGATCTCTCTTGCTGATCTCTCTTGCTGATCTCTCCTGCTGACCTCTCCTGCTGACCTCTCCTGCTGACCTCTCTGCTGACCTCTCTGTTGACCTCTCCTGATGACCTCTCCTGCTGACCTCTCCTGACCTCTCTGTTGACCTCTCCTGATGACCTCTCCTGCGCCACCGCCACCCCAAAACTCACTCGCGCAGACGGCACGCTGCCACAACCCGCACCACTGCTGCCACAACCCGCACCACTGCTGCTCCACACAACCAGTGCCAGCTGCTGCTGCCACCGCCAGCAGCAGCTGGCACTGGCAGTCGCAGCTGCAGCAGCAGCTGGCGCTGCCAGTGTCAGCAGCAGCAGCTGACACTGGCAGCTGGCGCTGGCAGTGTCAGCTGCTGGCACCGCGTAGCCGGGCGCCGCGCCCTCACCCAGGCACTCGCGCGAGGCCTCGTCCAGCGTGAAGCCCGCCGGACAGACGCACTGGAAGCTGCCGAAGGTGTTGACGCACTGGCCGCCGATGCACAGGCCGGGCAGCTCCACGCACTCGTCAATGTCTGCGGCCGCACGCACAGAGAGACAAAGGCGCGTTTATTTTTATATTTTTATTTACGCGATGTAACCCAACAACAACAACAACAAACCTCGAATATGGATGTAAGGTGATTGTCGTGGTGGTTGCACGGTGGTTGCGTGGTGGTTGCGTGGTGGTTGCACGGTGGTTGCACGGTGGTTGCACGGTGGTTAAGTGGTGGTTGCGTGGTGGTTGTGGCCGTGTGGCTTTGCCGGCGCCTTACCTTCCAGCACCACGGTGATGGGGTTGAGTCGGAAGCCACCGCCACCAGGACAGAGAACCTTGAACTCAGCTGGGCACACGGGAAGCAACACACGCACAGACACACACACAGATACATACACACAGATACACACACAGACACAGACACACACAGCCACACACACACAGACACACACACAGATACACACACAGACACACACACAGACACACACACACACAGATACACACACACACACACAGATACATACACACAGACACACACACAGACACATACACACAGATACACACACACACGCAGATACATACACACAGACACACACAGACACACACACAGACACACATAGATACACACAGATACACACACACAGACACACACACAGACACACATAGATACACACAGATACACACACAGAGACACACACACAGACACATAGATACACACAGATACACACACACGTACACAACAACAACTGCCATTCGCCACTAAGTGGCGGTGAGGTCACGGGGCAGACCCAACAGGTGCCACGGGTCGACTGACTAAGATGACTGGCTGATGCACCACCTGTGCCCCCTACTGTGCCAACTTGCTGTGCTTTAGCCACCCGGCGCTCCGCTCGTTGTTGTGAGCGTCGCTCCTCCGCCCTCCGTTGTTGTTGGAGGGCGACTGCCTCCAACTGCCCAGTAGCGTCCTTCACGAGCCTCCTCCTCAGAGGCCGATCTTGACACCGCTGGTACCAGTCATCGGCAAGTCCATTCAGCTCCACGTCCTCCTGTACCACATCACTCCATCTCTTCTCTAGCCCGTGCTGCGCCCGTTTAGCCCCCTCGATCCGGCCGAACAAAAGATGTTTCGGCATGCGGTGGCTGGGCATGCGGGCTACATGACCCAGCCAACGCAGCCTTGCTTGCCGGAGGAGCTCACCGATGGGACTTTGTCCAGATCTTTCAAGGATTCGTGAGCTTCTCACACAATCCAGCCTGGCATGCCAGCCTGAATGTTTCTAAACAGCGCAAATGTTCCATTAGGGGAGTCCACGTTTCACAAGCATAGGGAAGGGAGGGTATGACTGCTTGTGGAGCGACAAACAAGGCAGCTTCTACGCAGCGTTACGCAGCTGATGGAAAGATAATGCCACTGGACTTATTCGGAGTGAGACCTCTGCTGCCAAACCAGAGCTGGTCATAAGCACACTGCCGATATAAGGAAACCTCTCCACTCTCTCCGCAGCTGCCCCATCACTCATGGGGATTGAGGGGGGTGGAGTGTTTGATGGCACAAATATCTATGCAGGTGCTATGTTTTGGTGGAGCTGATAGTAAGGCCCCACCTCTCAGTGGCAAACAGCTCCTCTAACGCCTTCTCAGAATGAGAAGCAATCACCAGATCTTCAGCGTACGTAACTTGATTGACCATTATGGAGCCATTCCTCGACCGCACCAAGACATCGATCAGTTACCCATTGTATCTGTACTAGGTATACATTTGACTGGTACAGGATGGCTTCTTGAACTACGTGGTCGAAAATGATGTTAAATAGTGTGGGAGCCAGAGGACATCCCTGTGGCACCCCAAAGCGAAGCCAGGAAATGGCTCTGACTCCCGGCCACGTAACTTTACCTGGACCTGTCCACCATCATGAACGTCCTTGATGATCGTGAGCAGAATAACAGAGGAGGTCTGGCCTATTGATGGTTTCATAAGCTTTGATCAGGTCAATAAATCAGAGATGTAAATCCCTACACCTCTGCTGTAACAGAGAATTTGGCATCTCTGTAGGACCACCCCGGCCTGAAACCGTATTGGGGCTCTGCAAGCCTCTCCTCAGCGTGTCTGGTAAGGCGATGCTGAATAATCCTTTTCAAGACCTTTCCCGGCACACTGATAAAGATTTTGGTGATTCTGAGATGCCTCGACAGTTGTAATAAATACGGTCGCCCCTTATTAAAAAGGGGGTCCCCACCAGGTCATCCTTCGAATCCTGCGGAACCCATCCAGCGGTCCAGATTGTTATTATGAAGTCATATAAGGCAGTTTGCACGTAAACGCCACCATCCCTCAGCACTTCGCTTGGGAGACCATCTCTGTCTGACACTTTTCCTGGTCTCAGACTCTGGATTATCACTCATACTTCCTCAACAGATGTCACCTCAGCCAGACACATACATCCACACGAAACACAAACAGAAATATACACATTATTGGTTCTTTCGGTAAAGTCACCACGTAGAAGGGGAAACAATAAAACAATAAAAATATAAAACAATAAAATTCTCAACGACGTTTCGACTGCAAAACCACAGCAAGATTTTTGTTTTCAAATTTTCTTGCTGTGAAAGCTTTAAATCAGAAATATACACGTGTACATGCAGAGATACATAAATACAAAGACACCCGGTAGAGCCTTAACAGACTATTGGGGCAAGTGCTGTTAAGCAAGCACGTGTGAAGCCCAGCACGGCACACGAGGGGGTGGGTGGCCAACACCACGCACGGCCGCCTTTGTCTCCCCAGTGGCGATGTTTACACACCGCACCAGGTACTCATTTGAGGTCGAATCGACCTAGGGGGAGGCCCAGGACAGGTTCAAATAACCACTACACTACCGCCCCCCTACATAATTACATACACGCATGCACGTACACACAGGTACACACAGACACATAAGTACACGCAGAAACACACACGTACACACATCTGCACGTGCACCCACAGATGCACACTTAAATCAGGAGTTGGGGGCTGCATGTTATAACCTGATAGGGACACATGCACGCGTGTGTGTGCGCGTGTGTGTGTAAGAACACAAGTTTAGTGGTAACATCGGGCAGCACACGGCAACACCAGACAACATGGGGCAAAACTGGGTGGCATGGGGCACCAGTGGGCAACACTGAATGACACAGGGTGGCATGGGACATCACTCATCAACACTGAATGACACAGGGTGGCATGGGGCACAGCTCATCAACACTGAATGACACAGGGTGGCATAGGGCACCACTCATGCCAAACTGAATGTCACAGGATGGCATGGGACTCCACTCATCAACACTGAATGTCACAGGGTGGCATGGGGCACCGCTCATCAACACTGAATGACACAGGGTGGCATGGGACACCACTCATCAACACTGAATGACACAGGGTGGCATGGGGCACCACTCATCAACACTGAATGTCACAGGGTGGCATGGGGCACCAGTGGACAACACTGAATGTCACAGGGTGGCATGGGGCACCACTCATCAACACTGAATGACACAGGGTGGCATGGGGCACCACTCATCAACACTGAATGACACAGGGTGGCATGGGACACCACTCATCAACACTGAATGACACAGGGTGCCATGGGACACCACTCATCAACACTGAATGACACAGGGTGGCATGGGGCACCACTCATCAACACTGAATGACACAGGGTGGCATGGGGCACCACTCATCAACACTGAATGACACAGGGTGGCATGGGACTCCACTCATCAACACTGAATGACACAGGGTGGCATGGGGCACCACTCATCAACACTGAATGACACAGGGTGGCATGGGGCACCACCCATCAACACTGAATGACACAGGGTGGCATGGGACACCACTCATCAACACTGAATGACACAGGGTGGCATGGGGCACCACTCATCAACACTGAATGACACAGGGTGGCATGGGGCACCACTCAGCCACACTGAATGACACAGGGTGGCATGGGACTCCACTCATCAACACTGAATGACACAGGGTGGCATGGGACACCACTCATCAACACTGAATGACACAGGGTGGCATGGGGCACCACTCATCAACACTGAATGTCACAGGGTGGCATGGGGCACCAGTGGGCAACACTGAATGTCACAGGGTGGCATGGGGCACCGCTCATCAACACTGAATGTCACAGGGTGGCATGGGGCACCAGTGGGCAACACTGAATGACACAGGGTGGCATGGGACTCCACTCATCAACACTGAATGACACAGGGTGGCATGGGACTCCACTCATCAACACTGGATGTCACAGGATGGCATGGGGCACCACTCATCAACACTGAATGACACAGGGTGGCATGGGACAACACTCATCAACACTGAATGACACAGGGTGGCATGGGACAACACTAATCAACACTGAATGACACAGGGTAGCATGGGGCACCACTCATCAACACTGAATGACACAGGGTGGCATGGGGCACCACTCAGCCACACTGAATGACACAGGGTGGCATGGGACTCCACTCATCAACACTGAATGACACAGGGTGGCATGGGACACCACTCATCAACACTGAATGACACAGGGTGGCATGGGGCACCACTCATCAACACTGAATGTCACAGGGTGGCATGGGGCACCAGTGGGCAACACTGAATGTCACAGGGTGGCATGGGGCACCGCTCATCAACACTGAATGTCACAGGGTGGCATGGGGCACCAGTGGGCAACACTGAATGACACAGGGTGGCATGGGACTCCACTCATCAACACTGAATGACACAGGGTGGCATGGGACTCCACTCATCAACACTGGATGTCACAGGATGGCATGGGGCACCACTCATCAACACTGAATGACACAGGGTGGCATGGGACAACACTCATCAACACTGAATGACACAGGGTGGCATGGGACAACACTAATCAACACTGAATGACACAGGGTAGCATGGGACTCCACTCATCAACACTGAATGACACAGGGTGGCATGGGACAACACTAATCAACACTGAATGACACAGGGTGGCATGGGACTCCACTCATCAACACTGAATGTCACAGGGTGGCATGGGACACCACTCATCAACACTGAATGACACAGGGTGGCATGGGGCACCACTCATCAACACTGAATGACACAGGGTGGCATGGGACACCACTCATCAACACTGAATGTCACAGGGTGGCATGGGGCACCGCTCATCAACACTGAATGTCACAGGGTGGCATGGGTCACCACTCATCAACACTGAATGACACAGGGTGGCATGGGGCACCACTCATCAACACTGAATGACACAGGGTGGCATGGGACTCCGCTCATCAACACTGAATGTCACAGGGTGGCATGGGACTCCACTCATCAACACTGAATGTCACAGGGTGGCATGGGTCACCACTCATCAACACTGAATGTCACAGGGTGGCATGGGACTCCACTCATCAACACTGAATGACACAGGGTGGCATGGGGCACCACTCATCAACACTGAATGTCACAGGGTGGCATAGGGCACCACTCATCAACACTGAATGTCACAGGGTGGCATGGGACACCACTCATCAACACTGAATGTCACAGGGTGGCATGGGTCACCGCTCATCAACACTGAATGTCACAGGGTGGCATGGGACTCCACTCATCAACACTGAATGTCACAGGGTGGCATGGGGCACCAGTGGACAACACTGAATGACACAGGGTGGCATGGGACACCACTCATAAACACTGAATGACACAGGGTGGCATGGGGCACCACTCATCAACACTGAATGACACAGGGTGGCATGGGACAACACTAATCAACACTGAATGTTACAGGGTGGCATGGGACTCCACTCATCAACACTGAATGACACAGGGTGGCATGGGGCACCACTCATCAACACTGAATGACACAAGGTGGCATGGGACTCCACTCATCAACACTGAATGTCACAGGGTGGCATGGGGCACCGCTCATCAACACTGAATGTCACAGGGTGGCATGGGACACCACTCATCAACACTGAATGTCACAGGGTGGCATGGGGCACCGCTCATCAACACTGAATGACACAGGGTGGCATGGGACACCACTCATCAACACTGAATGACACAGGGTGGCATGGGACTCCACTCATCAACACTGAATGTCACAGGGTGGCATGGGTCACCGCTCATCAACACTGAATGTCACAGGGTGGCATGGGACTCCACTCATCAACACTGAATGTCACAGGGTGGCATGGGGCACCAGTGGACAACACTGAATGACACAGGGTGGCATGGGACACCACTCATCAACACTGAATGACACAGGGTGGCATGGGGCACCACTCATCAACACTGAATGTCACAGGGTGGCATGAAACAACACTCATCAACACTGAATGTCACAGGGTGGCATGGGACACCACTCATCAACACTGAATGACACAGGGTGGCATGGGGCACCACTCATCAACACTGAATGTCACAGGGTGGCATGGGGCACCACTCATCAACACTGAATGTCACAGGGTGGCATGGGACACCACTCATCAACACTGAATGTCACAGGGTGGCATGGGACACCGCTCATCAACACTGAATGTCACAGGGTGGCATGGGACTCCACTCATCAACACTGAATGACACAGGGTGGCATGGGGCACCACTCATCAACACTGAATGTCACAGGGTGGCATGGGGCACCACTCATCAACACTGAATGTCACAGGGTGGCATGGGACACCACTCATCAACACTGAATGTCACAGGGTGGCATGGGACACCGCTCATCAACACTGAATGTCACAGGGTGGCATGGGACTCCACTCATCAACACTGAATGTCACAGGGTGGCATGAAACAACACTCATCAACACTGAATGTCACAGGGTGGCATGGGACTCCGCTCATCAACACTGAATGTCACAGGGTGGCATGGGGCACCGCTCATCAACACTGAATGTCACAGGGTGGCATGGGGCACCACCCATCAACACTGAATGTCACAGGGTGGCATGGGACTCCGCTCATCAACACTGAATGTCACAGGGTGGCATGGGGCACCGCTCATCAACACTGAATGTCACAGGGTGGCATGGGGCTCCACTCATCAACACTGAATGACACAGGGTGGCATGGGACACCACTCATCAACACTGAATGTCACAGGGTGGCATGGGACTCCACTCATCAACACTGAATGTCACAGGGTGGCATGGGGCACCACTCATCAACACTGAATGTCACAGGGTGGCATGGGACAACACTCATCAACACTGAATGTCACAGGGTGGCATGGGACACCGCTCATCAACACTGAATGACACAGGGTGGCATGGGACTCCACCCATCAACACTGAATGTCACAGGGTGGCATGGGCAGCGTACTGCTGTTGACGGCGGGGCAGCGCTGGCACGGCCGCCCCCACGCCCTCCCCAGGGCACAGCAGCAGGTGGCGCGGGCGACGCCAACGCCGACCTCGGCGCTGCAGGAGAGCGACCCGTCGCCACGCTGCTCGTACTCCATGAAGCACGCGGCGGCACGCGTGTCTGCACACACACACGTGTCACACACACACACACACGTGTCACACACACACACACGTGTCACACACACACACGTGTCACACACACACACACATGTGTCACACACACACACGCGTGTCTGCACACACACACGTGTCACACACACACACACACGTGTCACACACACACACACACACGTGTCACACACACACACACACACGCGTGTCACACACACACACACGTGTCACACACACACACACGTGTGTCACACACACACACACACGTGTCACACACACACACACACACACGTGTCACACACACACACACACACGTGACACACACACACACACACACGTGTCACACACACACACACACACGTGTCACACACACACACACACGCGTGTCACACACACACACACACGTGTCACACACACACACACACACGTGTCACACACACACACACACACGCGTGTCACACACACACACACACACACGTGTCACACACACACACACACGTGTCACACACACACACACACGTGTCACACACACACACACGTGTCACACACACACACACACGTGTCACACACACACACACACGCGTGTCACACACACACACACACGTGTCACACACACACACACGTGTCACACACACACACACGTGTGTCACACACACACACACACGTGTCACACACACACACACACACACGTGTCACACACACACACACACACGTGTCACACACACACACACACACGTGTCACACACACACACACACACGTGTCACACACACACACACACGCGTGTCACACACACACACACACGTGTCACACACACACACACACACGTGTCACACACACACACACACGCGTGTCACACACACACACACACACACGTGTCACACACACACACACACGTGTCACACACACACACACACGTGTCACACACACACACACGTGTCACACACACACACACACACGTGTCACACACACACACACACGCGTGTCACACACACACACACACGTGTCACACACACACACACACGCGTGTCACACACACACACACACGTGTCACATACACACGTGTCACACACACACACACACGCGTGTCACACACACACACACGTGTCACACACACACACGCGTGTCACACACACACACACACGTGTCACACACACACACACACGTGTCACACACACACACACACACGTGTCACACACACACACACACGCGTGTCACACACACACACACACGTGTCACACACACACACACGTGTCACACACACACACACGTGTCACACACACACACACGTGTCACACACACACACACGCGTGTCACACACACACACACGCGTGTCACACACACACACGCGTGTCACACACACACACACGCACACACGTGTCACACACACACACACGTGTGTCACACACACACACACGCACACACGTGTCACACACACACACACACGTGTCACACACACACACGCGTGTCACACACACACACACACGCGTGTCACACACACACACACGCGTGTCACACACACACGCGTGTCACACACACACACACACGTGTCACACACACACACACACACGTGTCACACACACACACACGTGTCACACACA